AAAAAGTTCAAGGTTGAAGTATATTTTTTGACATTTGCAACTTTCAATAGCTAGTGGACGAAGCAGTATGTACGGGGACAGGGACCGTGGACCTAGAAGTGAGACCAGCAGTCTTGGAGCACCGAGCGGTACAATGCCACATGATGTGAATGAAACAGAAACAGAACGGGATAACTCCTCAAGGTATGTTTCTCTTACTCCTTGCTACTTTTGGTTTAAAACCCTTCAGGGGCGTTAGATTCCTAGTGAGCTATCCAGATAGCTTACAGAACATATGCACCTGCTGATTTCATTGATTTTCATTGGCATGTCTCTGAAACACTGCTTAAATGGAGCTTATTTCAACAAATCAAAGTGAATAGGCATACTGACAGATTACCTAAACAATATTAAGTATTAGAAAGATATTGTTTCAGAATGAAATACATGTATTAATCATTGATCTGAATTTCATAGAAAAAACTTGGGTTCCAATTTAAATATTTACAGAAAAATATGTTCTCATTAAAATATGGTTCTAAGGGTTACTTAAGGTTTGGATAGTGTATTTTACTTAAGGTTTGGACAGTGTATTTTAATATAAGATAAAAAAAAAATATACTCACATTTAACATTTGGTTCTGAGAAAAAATACTCTAGGTTTGGAGAGTGTTTTAAATATTAACAAAAGTTATGTTCATATTCCTAAGGTTTTTACAGTGTATTTGAATACTTACAAAAAATATGTTCACATTAAATCATTGCTGGCTTATTTTCAGATTACACAGTCTTCGTTTGAACTTGTTAGAGAAGTTATTACAGTTCTTGCCTAGCGTGTCAAAGCAGGGGGGTGTGGCTGCTATACCATTTATGCAGGTAGTGTATAAGTTGTGTATACAAATCTTGATGCAATTTGGTCTTACATAGATATCAGGGTCTTTCAAATAGAAACTATACCGAGTTATACAGAGACATGTTTAATTGTAGCAAGAAGGGTTATGTATACATTGTGCGTTTCCAGACCATTCTATTTGAAAGACCCTGGATATATGTACAATATAATTTTCACAAATTTAAAAGCAAGTAAATTTCAAAGCTCAGTAAATTTGTCACATGTGTTTGCAATTGTGATAAGAAAATTTGTGGCCTTTTTCATTATTGAGAAGTCTAGTTGTTAATGTGACTATGTTGAGTATTTTTTTTCCCTGGTGAAGTGCATTTAAGAATGGTGCAAACTGTTCAATATTCATGAGCTTCTCACCTGGCACGTAGGTGATTGATAGTTCTACTATGAGGTTATCTTGTACCTGGCTTAATGCAGAAAGTTTTTGTGTAACTTGAGCTTTGGAAGCATGTAGCTTAAATTCATTGGATCTTTAATTTGTGGATTGGCCTATTCACAAAACACATAAAAAAAAAATTGAGTCTCATGAATATTGTTGAGTTTTCAGAAATACTCCTCATTATCTCTCATGAACTGACTAGAACAGTCTTCAGTGTTCACCTTATAACTTTTATTTTCATTTGCTGTATAGGGATACATCCCCTTTTTCCATAACTTTCTAAAAATAGATTTACATTTTTCTAGGTCTTGCTAATGTTGACCTCTGACCTTGACGCTGAGGAGGAAAAAGATCGTACGGCTCTAGATAACATGCTGCAGGCGTTGTTGGTGGAACTGGATCTGTCTGGTGCCGGGCTCGACACTGTGTCGTGCAGGAGTAAGGCGATGGAAGTGAAACTGGTGTACATGAGACTATTAAGTGTACTACTCTCAAGGACTAAGGCAGGGACGAAACCATCTACTGAGGTAAGATGATAAGATTGTTGACTGGTTCAGAATTTTAGTCCTTGTTTTGCAGAGTGTAGTGGGAATTTTAGTAAAAGATCTTTTAAATGGAATGTCACGGATGATAAAAATTTGTCAGTCTGACCTTGACTGGAACTTGGGACTCTCAAAATACAGTTCCACAGATCTTTTGACTAAGCTACCAAGACTCTTACACATTTCCTCCTCTAGTAGTCAACAGTTATATATGATGTGACAGATAGAATATGATAAAAATAATCAGAGGACTGCTGGCCAAGTGGGTTCATACCCTGATAGGGTCAAACTGTTGTTTCCTTAAGCATGAAACTACACCAATTGCTTACTGAATAACAAAGTGTGTCTCAAAGCTTATAGCCTCCTTCACAATCAAACTTGAATAAATTTTGTATAAACTGAAAGGTCATAATATTTATTTTACAGTCTTCATCGTTTGTGAGTAACACAACAGCCAATGCCTTGTTGTCCAGTGGAACAATCACTTACTGTTTGACCATACTACAGAATCTTCTACCATACTGGAGAAACTACAATCCAGCAGAGGTATAATATATTGTGACAAAATTATAATAATCGAGGGTTCACCGCAAAACTGCAGTAACTAATATAAAATAAAGAAGAACTTACAACAGTTTTGCAATCAATCCTCAGTATGGTCATTTGTCTCTCACGGCCAATTAAGAAATTCAAGAAATTTCAAATTTGACCCAATTATTGAAGTTTTTAAGCTTAAAATGCTATAACTTTTATTTGTCAAAAACTTGCTATCTTTGGTATCTTGTCACAGTTTCCATAAAATTACTCATTTGCCATATACATTAACTATCTTTTGCTTATTTTGCTCTGTTTGCAAATGGTATATTTAGTGAACGAGTATTTTGTTTGGATGTCAAAATACTACTTTGATTAAATTTTGCTACCTTTGCGACATCACTACATGTTCAATGATACTTTTCTCAGTTGTTTAATATTTAACATGCTCTGAATCCATTATTAAAATATTATCAAACACATGTTTGGCATTTCTTAAGATTTACAAACATATTGATTTCTTCAGCATAATGTGCCTTTAAATTGCAATTGGTTAAAATGATTGACTTCAACAACTTGCCCATTACTTATATAGCTTCAAAAACTGCCAGCGACTTTGAATTCTTTCTTGTGAGGAAGCTATCCAGCTAGCTTATGGAATATCAGTGGTTCTACTCCTGTGTCAGCTCCTCTTGTCTGAAATACTGAACTGAGTGGACCCTGAGGTCTTCTCCCCACCTTAAAAGATGGCATTTTACCATATAATCTTAACAGTATAGGTGTGACTTAAATAAAATGGAGGGGAAAAAAAGGCTTTACATAAGGTAATTTGGTAATTTTTCTGTGTTTTTAGGAGGAAACTGCTCCATTGCCAGGACAACTGTTGAAGCCACGCCCAACATCACCACCCCCAGATATGAGCCCATTCTTCCTGAGGGAGTATGTAAAAGGACATGCAAATGATGTTTTTGAAGACTATCCTCAGTTGCTGACAGAGATGGCTCTTAGACTACCACATCAGGTTTGTACTGTAAAATGACATTGGAAATAGAAAGTTATTTTTGTTGATGATATCTTAATATTTTATGTAGATTTTTGTAACTGAATGCATGCCATTACAGCCTATTGTGTTTATACTTTTTTATTAGTTTCAAAGTAAGAATAATAAAAATACAATATAGTCAGATAATTTATGTTAGGATATCCTCATTAAAAAGACCATTTTATTTTAAATATTTCACTTTAAACCAACATATTTATTGCTTTTAGCAAAATTAAATGTTTTAAGATGTTGTCACAATTCTTAAAAATGATGTTTGTGCATTCGTTTGACTGTGATGTAAATAAAGAATTAAGTATTATATATTTAGTTTCCGCCTTTAATGAAAACCTTTGAAGAAGTTGTTTTCTATTTCCTGAGAAAAACTGAAAGGGTCAACAGGCTGATATGTAATATTAAAGTAAATATGCAATGTTTGATTTTAGTTGAAGAAGATTGGGGACAGTGTACAAGGTGTGGCCACGGCCACGTTTGATGCAGCCTGGAACACAACACTGGCAGAGTACATGATGACACAGAGGACACCATTTGTTAAGAAACAAGCACGAAAAGTAAGTTTTGCTATTAAAATATATAATTTTCAAAATTCAGTCATGTATGACATTATTGATTAATACATACTGTACCAGTATGAACAGAGTGCAAAACTTAATAAAGCTTAATAGTTATAAATGAACAGATGAATAATAAGAAAGTAAGTAATTTATTATTGTGACAAGTGTATATACAATGTAGATGATCAGTGAGCATACCCAGCCCAGCCCAATGTGCTTATAACTCACAAAATACAAATGATAAGTGAATGGTCTAAATATTATATAAACTTGCCGGTTTATCACTTTTCGTACGCTTGCTTAGCTAAATAGGCAGAGTATTGGATTTGTTATCCAGGGTTGTTGGTTCAATCCTCGAGCGAGAGGGAAGTTTTTGGGGACAACTAATCTCGGACATTGAGTCTAATGGTCATTTGTCTCTCACCGCTGACCATGAAATCATGTGGGATTAGCATTATGTTAATTTCATAGAAATTGGTGATTATTGGTTAGTTATCCAGAAAAAACTGGTAGGTGTACTCTCTGCCAAGATATGACCAAAATTGTGTTAAAATTGGCATAAAACCTAACAAACAATTGTTATTCTTTGTATTTTGGTCACATTGTCTTACTTTTTCTCAGTGTCATAGTATCAATATTTTTTGACTGACATATTAGGTAAATGGTATACTGCTAACTTGCATAAACTTCTATCATACCATTGAATCCAGTTTCAAGAAAATTATTTGAAGGTGAAAAAGAGATTCTTTTTGTATTTGTATTTTCCCCCATAGTAAGGCTAGGTATAAACCTTATTAAAGCTTTATCCTCTAGCGATTCCTCAGTGTTAACAATATTTTTGTTCATATTTCAGTTACTGTTGTTTATCAGTGTATCATCTAGCTATTCATCAGTGTTTATCAGTGTTAACAATATTTTTGTTTATATTTCAGTTACTGTTCTTTATCAGTGTATCGTCTAGCTATTCATCAGTGTTTATCAGTGTTAACAATAATTTTGTTTATATTTCAGTTACTGTTCTTTATCAGTGTATCGTCTAGCTATTCATCAGTGTTTATCAGTGTTAACAATATTTTTAGCTCGACTATTCGAAGAATATGAGAGCTATTGTAGTCGCCCTGGCGTCGGCGTCAGCGTCTGCGTTGGTTAAAGTTTTTTGTAAAGACAAATATCTCAAGTATTACTTGAGATATTCAATTGAAACTTACAATACTTATTTATAGTAACAAGGTACATAAGGTTGACAAGTTGGATAACTCTGTCTACAATATTGACAGAATTATGCCCCTTTTTAACTTAGAAATTTTGGTTAAAGTTTTTTGTAAAGTCAAATATTTCAATTATTGCTTGAGATATTCAACTGAAACTTACAATACTTATTTATAGTAACAAGGTACATCAGATTGACAAGTTGGATAACTCTGCCTACACTATTGACAGAATTATGCCCCTTTGGAACTTACAAAATTTTGGTTAAAGTTTTTTTGTAAAGTCAAATATCTCAATTAAATGCTTGAGATATTCAATTGAAATTTAAAATACTTTTTTTTGTAGTAACAAATGTACATCAGTTTGAAAAATTGCATAACCCTGCCTGCAATATTTGCAGAATTATTTGCCCCTTTGAAACTTTAGAAATTTTTGTTAAAAAGGTTTAAAGGTCTTTCAAAGATATTTACTTGAAACTTTACACATGCACTTTATGGTCATAATTGAAGGGTCATTATTGTATGTCACTGACCCAAGTTCCATAACTCTATCTTGCATTAAGGCTGATTCATATCCCCTTTTCTACTTAGTCTCTTGGTTAATGTTTACATGCAAGTTTTACATATCTTAATAACTATAAAAGATATTTATTTTATCATACGAAAAATGAATAACAAATAGTATAGTTTACACTTTTATTCAATCAACCTTAACATCAAAATGTTCCCAGATATTAAGATTGGAGAAATATGGCCACTTATATAACAGGGAATGCCATAAAGCAAACTGTCATATACGTAAATTTCCATCAGCTGAGAGTTTAAAAAGATGTATGCAAATAAACTGGCCCAAACCAACGAGCAAACACTTTGCGAATAGTATATTCAGCAAAAACTGTTACGAATAAAGCAAAGCTAGACTCACGGGGAAAACCAAGCAAGCGTAACAGAAACAAGGCAAGCTAGGATTCCAGACTACGTGTCATTTGGGAAAATCCTTTTGGGTGGGCGGAAGGGGAAAAATTAATCTAAAGTACTTGTAGAACTGGCTGTAAGCTAGCTGTTCGGCGAAAAAGAGCGATGCACGCCTTTCCCGAACTTTTATACGGTTAAGCCTGTCTGACTTATACCCGACTTACTGAACTTAACCCAACTATATTAAATGAATGATGGGAACCAGACCGTACCTACGACAAATGCCGAAGAAAATCCAAATAACCCACAACCCCAATAACCAAATTGTTTCCGAATGCTATTGAAACTGGAGAAGCTTTGACGCACAAATAACAAGTATTTTCTTGAAAAAAAATTAATTATTGGACATTCGTAAATTTAATTCTTATTTAATTTTATCATACGGAAAAAAATGAATAACAAATAGTATAGTTTACCACTTTTATTCAATCAACCTTAACATCAAAAATGTTCCCAGATTATTTAAAAATTTGGAGAAATATGGCCAAACTTAAATATATACAAGGGAATGCCATAAAGCAAACCTGTCATATGACCTAAATATTCCAAATCAGCTGAGATTTAAAAAGATGTAATGCAAAACTAACCAAACCAACGAGCAAAACACTGTTGCGGGAATAGTATATTCAGCAAAACTGTTACGAATAAAGCAAGCTATAGACTCACGGGAAAACCAAAAGCAAGGGGGCAAAAAACAGAAACAAAGGCAAGCTGAGGATTGCCAGACTACGTGTCATTTGGGAAAATCCTAGAAACGCAACTTGACTTAAAATATTGAAGTCCTTCTTGGCAAGCGCCAGTACTCCAGGCTTGATATATGACCAAAACTAAAACTAATGAAAAATTGACAGGTTATTAAAAACTAGTCGTATTTGCCCGAAACCGACGGGAATGAGTCATGACCCCCCCACCGATATCGTAGAAAACACGACCAGCAGATTAAAAAACTTTATGACACAAAATGCAATGAAGTTTTTGGTTCCGCCTGATAAACTCTCAGCTACCTAACAGAATTTTTCCGCCACAATAAATTCAAATTAATTTTTCCCCCAAAAATTCAGAAACTTAATTATTTTGTGCAATGTTTTTAAAAAGGCGTCCTTAAGATAAATCTAAAATAGAACTCAAGGCCCACATCAATTTAAGTGGATACCGTCCTCACGCCAAAAACCCAGTGGCTTGAATCTATATCCGTGGGATATTATATCGTGTTTGCCAGAAAGAGCCCCGAACCAAATATCTCCCCCAGCGATTAACTCTCTGTCTTTTAATTTTCAATGGTCTGCAAGCCCTTAAGTGCGCCAGGCCACACCACGTCTCTTTGGAGGATATCAATCCAAATAATTGTAAGCGTAGTCGAAAAAGGCTGTACCGCAAAAATACCTGACCTCACGAGATATTATGTTTTTTTAATTTGGAATATGGATTAGAGGTCAGGTCAAATTCCCGCCAAGGTGAATTGGCAATAATTTTCTGGTGGGGTTGGAAAGCAGAACTTGAGCTTCAATGGTACGACAAATGAACCAGCCATCGAAAGACCCTAACACCCACCAAGGCAAATTACCTTACACCTGGCAAAGTGCAAATTTCTTTTCCAGTGGCTTTAGCTCTATACGCAGCCCAAGTACGGGATTGAAAATCCCCAAAACCCACACTCTAAAATAGAAGAAAAATTACAAATACATACAAACAATTTACTTAGGCGCCGCGTGACCTTAATCAGAACAACTCAACTGACGAAATACTTTTTAAAACAATTCAAGGACCAACGGCCCCATTTTCTTTATAGTTTCCAGGTAAACTCCCTGATGCAAGCAAAATCAGTTCCCCTACCGAATCCTAAAACCTGTGTGACCTATAATACCCAGCCAAAACAGTGTTTTAAGAAAATACATTTTCTTAAGAGCGAAAGAAAAAATTGTGGATCTTTAAACGCGGTTTAAACCGTTAGAATGACCAAAAATAAGGACCGCCAGTAAGACGTCCGGGCTTAAATTTGCTAATATAAAGCAAGATATTCCTTTTAACAGGGCAAAGATAATGACTTATGCTTGGGGAAATTTCAAAATTCAAAATTGCTTACCCCGTTGCATTATTTTTATAGTTTTGTAGTTTAAACCCAATATGTAAAGTATTGTTTGACAATTTAATGTCCCCTTAACTTCACTGACTGTCCGTACCTTGGCATGGGAGCAACTAGCTTCACTGAATCTAAAAAAGCCCAAAATATGCTAGTGAGAATACGCCCTTAAGAAATGATTTGTTGCAATATGTTGTAATGCCCGTGCGGCCAAAACTGCCAGTAAGTTAAACATTTTAAATGTCAACCGGGGGCCCGCTTGTCCTTTGTTACGGCGTTTTCCGGTGTCAAAACCTTCCAGATTTTTCTTCACAATGAAATTTTGGAGCAATATCGTAAAATTTCCCTGACAATTTTGAATAATAATTTAAACCAGAAATGTAGGAATGAAATGCTTTTAAAGGTGAGAGCCCCTTTTTCAAAACAATGAGCTATAAATAAAAACCACATGGCCGAACCGGTATTTGGCCATAAATTTTTGGAATTCCATGAATTTCCTCCTAAAATTTTTAAACATACTCAATGCTTACTTTATAAGTCTTAAGAAGAATTGTGTGCTATTTCCAGACCGTAATAACCTGCCCGCTCTTAAAATTGAAAGATATCCCCAGAAAGGTCCCGGCAACAATCGGCTCCGGGAGCGAGTAGCCTGAATCGTTCCCCCTGAAATCGAGAAATAAAGCGTTCACAATATTATTGTTGTTTAACCTCCACGTGGACAGCCCCTTTTAAAAAGGACATTCACTCTAAACACCTGAATGGTTAAATCCTTACTAAATTCAATGCAACCGATCCAAATTTTTTGAGGTTAGTTTTACTTAAAAATATGCACCACTGAAATGTTATCACCCAATTTACTTTTTAATCTTTTTTTTTTTAATTCCGAAACCCCATATAAATAGTGTTGAACAACGATTAGGAAACAATTCTAAAAAGTTAATTAATCCCCAGAAAATGTTATTTCCCCCCCAAAAGTTATGCCCAGGAATCAGGCCACCTTGCATTGCCCAATGACCTTGAAAAATTATATACCAAAAGCCCATGCCATGACCAAACCGGGCTGTCAGTGAAATAATTGCATGTCCTCATTTGTAACCCCAATAACGGTCAGAAAAACGGAAATTCCGTTAAACTTATTGCAGAAAAAGACAAACCACAAATTTTCTATTAAACGAGGGTTTTATTAATACGAATATGATGGTCGGTTTTGAAAAGGGCCGCACGTTGTTGTTTATAAAACCGACCTTTAATTTAACAGGTCCTGCCGACGAACAATTCCGGCAGCCCAAAAAATGCAAAGATCCCCAATTAATGACTGCATTGGGCTTTTTAAGCGTTGTTTTAGATTTTTTGATAACAAGTGAAGAATTTTTTTTTAACTTTCGTTTAATTTTGATTCTTATCTGAAACCACCATAATTTTTCGGAATCGAGTTCAATCTCAAGGTTTTAAACAATTTACCTTAACTGGGCCGAACTTTTTAATCTTCCGCTAACGGGAACTTTAATTCGGACCATTGTTCCTTTAAATGAATTGTAATGCCATAAGCAGTCATCGCTGTTTTCCCCCCTCCTAAAAAATTCATCAAGGTAGTGAATAAGCATTTTTGGCAAATTCATCTTAGATTTAAGCTAAAAAAAACTCTTAAAAAACGAGAAAATCTCTCCCAAATGTTATCAAACTTATTAGGCACCCCAAAGGGGAAGTCCTTGTCAACGTACCCAAATTGTTTTTTCAAAACGAAACCCTAATAATTCAAGTCGCAGGGGTTAATTGGTATAAGACGAAATCAACTTTTATGTCTTACCTTAAACAGAATTACAAATTCTTTCCTAAATCTCTTGTACCAATTTTGAACGGCTTCATCGAACTTTATATTGGAAACCGAACATAGGTTTTGGGTCCGATAAATCAAATTTATGGGAACTCGCCCGTGGGGTCCCAAAGATGAAGAATCATACGAAATTCCCCAAGGGGGTTTTCTTCGGAATGAGACCTATCCCGGGGATATAAACCAAAATTTTGAAAAAGGGGGGTCTTGAAAGGTCCCCTACTCTACCCGCTAAAAAATTTCTGTGTTAATTTGTTTTTTAAAATTATTAGCGGATTTTAATTTTGCCACTTAAGATTTGTGAATCCTGAGCTTTGCGGGGGGCCGCGCGTAAATTGTAAATTCGAAAGCCGTATTTTGAAAACCATTCAACAAAAATGAAGCCTTCATTTTGATCCATAAAATAAAAGAATATTTTTCCAACATAATGACTTAATTGGCGATATTGCTAACTGTAAACATCTAAATTTCGGGGATTAATTTTTGCTGTTGACCTCTTGCCTCCCATTGAATGGACGAAAATAAGGCCGCCCTTCTTGTGGGGCCAAGCTGAATGAAAATTACTATGCCCGGTGGCCGTTTTTGCGACCTAGGGCAGACTATTGCTGAGATGCGAAATAGGGCCGCATATTTTTTGCAAAGATGCAACAAATCTGCAATTCGGCCACCTACAATTTCCTTGATTAAAATCTAAGCATTTGAAGCTAAACGAGTTGAAGACCTTAGAACTGTCTTTCCGCACCTGCATGCAACGCCACAGAGGCGTTATTTGATCACTGACCAAGGGGAAAAGGCGAGAGTGCCTGACGGATACGGAACTGCTGTCAAATAGGTTTCTCCAATGCGTAACCTCCTTGACGTGCAGCGCCATATTCCCCTTATTGTGAACAAAAAATGAAAGATCGTATTTTTATCAGCATGTTGTAGAAAGATATACGGAACGCATAGATGATAAATGCATCTGTCCAGCCGCTCAATAGATTGGACTTTATCCTTACATTTCACGTTTTCCGATGTTTCTAGGATGACCATCGGAACCTACTAAACCTTAAAACTCCTACCACTGCAAAATTCTGACAGCTAAAAACCGCTCCCTTTAAAAGAAGGGCTAAATTAAACATTATTACCCCCTTACAGATCTTGTTGCTTGATGGAAGACGGGAACATGAGCTGCCAAATGCATCCCCTGCTAAACGGTACTTCAGGCTGGATATGCGAGCCAATTTGCTGGGTGGACTTTTTGAATTACCCGGGCAATTAAGGAACGTCAAACGTTATCGACAGAATCGCCAGTAAACCGGGAAGTATTATTGCCCCAGCACATTGGCCACGATGTTTCCATCAAAGAAACATTTCTGTTTCTATTTTCCGGGGGCAGTAAACGACCAGAATCGCGAAATTAAAGTTTCAAAAATCAAATAATCTGAGAGGACCTACCCCGCATTAGGCTTAAAAGGCAGCCTGTCCTCGTCGTTCTGCCTAAGGCATCACGTGCTTGCTTCCTGCCTCGTGTATGGCCTATCAACGGGAGCTGGTGATTCCCAACGCTTGGTCCGGGTTGTCGGCTGTCCGTCTGGCTTGGGGAATTATCAACTGGCATTCCCATCCCTGTGTCGAGGGGCAGCATTTCTTCCTGCCTGAATGGCTTCTTTTCCAACTGAGGGTTTCGACCCTTCCTTCTTAGAAAAACGAAACCACGTTTTGGCGGCATTTGAAAAATTAATCTAAAAGTAACTTGTAGAACTGGCTGTAACCTTAGCTGTTAGGCAAAAAGAGAGCGATCACGCCTTTCCCGAACTTTTAATACAGTTAAGCCTGTTTGACTTATACCCGACTTACTGAACTTAACCCCCAACTATATTAAATGAATGATGGGAACCAGAAACCGTACCTACGACAAATGCCGAAGAAATCCAAATAACCCACAAACCCATACCAAATTGTGTCCGAAATGCTATGAAACTGAGAGCTTTTGACGACAAATAACAGTATTTTTTTTTGAAAAATAAATGTAATTATTGACCATTCGGTAAATAATTCCCTTATTAATTTGAAAAACTTAAACATATGCCATTTAGGATCATAATTGGTAGGTCACTGACAAAGATCCATAATTCTGTCTTGCATTTAGGCTGATTTTTCTCCCCTTTTTCAACTTAGAAATTCATGGTAAGCTGTTATCTCAATAACTACTGAAGGGTTTGTGCCTTTTTTTGGACAATTTTATGCATTCATAATAATAAAGCAGTGATTTACTTTGATAAAACATCTTTAATAACAAGCCTTTGTACCTTTTCTGTCAAATTTATGTATTCATATGGGTAATTATAAGTATTATTATACTCAATAAAACACCCTTGTGACATTACCTTCCGAATAGTCAAGCCAATACTGTATAATTAGACTCTCTCTAAGGCCCATAAAATGAATTTTATAAATAAAAAATTAAGCCCTTTTGTGAACTTAAAAATGTAACATTATCAAGGCTCTTTCACTATCAAGCACTTAGAATAGTCGAGCGTGCTGTCCTTCCGACAGCTCTATTTGTTTATATTTAGTTACTGTTGTTTATCAGTGTATCATCTAGCTATTCATCAGTGTTTATCAGTGTTAACAATAATTTTGTTTATATTTCAGTTACTGTTGTTTATCAGTGGTTCACGTGAGCGGTATCGTGAGATACGTGACCTATACTCTATAGAGAAAAACTTGAATGCTGTTATAGAGCAGTGCAACAAGAGTGGATTATCCACCACAGAGATAGCTCCACACAGTGTCATACTACCTTACGACTCTCTCCTCGTTCTTGTAAGCTCTTGATTTTGTGATGATATTTGAATGATAATGATGTTTTTGTGATGAATAAGATACAAAATTTATAATGTTTGTTTTAAGTAGACCCTTATAGTGTAATGTTGAGACAATAAGGTTTATGGACTTCATAGTTCAGATCCCACTGACTGAACAGAAACATTTATGTGGTGTTTATTTGATGTTGGTTAGTGCGTGAAGAGACCTGTTTAACAAGAACTTGGATATTCCAGCCTGAGTTATCAATGTGGAACATGCTATTCAGTCATGTAACTGATATCTTATCAGCATACTGCATTTAGTGATTTTGTTTGGAGCAAATAAGGACCTTGTATCTGATTAAAATTCGGTTATATTGTAGTTTTGTGTTATTTTTAGCTTGAGGTTTGGAGAATATTGAGAGCATTTGCATTCACCATGGCATCAGTGTCAATGTCTCTCACTTTGGTTAAGTTTTTGCATGCAAGTTGCTATCTCAAAAAGGACAGAAGGGAATTTTTTGAAACTTCACATACTTGTTTGAGAGCACAAAAGAAGGTCACTATCCAAGGTCAATAGTTTTAACATGGATTGTGACTGAATTATTGCCGTTGTTTACATTAGAACATTTTACATTATCTACACTCCTGAGATTAGTCAAGCATGCTGTCATTCAGATAGCTCGACTTGTTTTCTTATGTTATAGGTGCTAACAGATTATTTGAAAATAATTTGTATGAATTATTAATATTCTATTGTATTTAGATAAGTTAAAGCTTATATGTATATCAATAGGGTTTCTTGCATTAATGTATGTACTTTAACATTTCACAGATTGAACATTTGAAAGCATGCGCTGATATAGCTGCAAGCAGACCAGTCAACTGGCAGAAATACTGCACTGCAAACCAAGGTAAGACATTGATATTGTATAATGATTAGTTTACTTTGATATATGTCATTTTATTTTTATTTTTTTTGGAGGGAGTGAGCTTGTGATGAAAGCTGAAAGTTTGTTTTAACCAATCTCAAGTCTGTTTTCTGGAACTTACCAGAATGGGTGTCACAGCCAGAACCTGGTGTGACAACTGGAACAATGGTTATGTCTCCAGTAGGGCTTGAACTTGTATCTCACATCTTAATCAAAATGTATTGGACATATATAAGATAATTATACATGATAAACAATTGTTTTAAATGAACATAATTATACATGATAAACAATTGTTTTAAATGAACAGTCTTAGACAACCCTGTGTATCACAATAGATCCCTGATTTCTAGGTATTTCATAAAGAGGCTAAGTTTGCAAATATCAATGAAATGAAATTATCAGGTCTTCCTTATTTAGAGTGAATGTCTGAAGAAGAGTGTGTTTATCCCATCCTTTCATTTGTGTAATACATTAATGTTTTTTTGTGTGAAATTTCTTATCTCATTAACCACTAAATATTATTATTTGATAATTTATATACATTTCAAGGCCATTATTTTAGGTCCCTGTTTAAGGTGCTTTACTCTAGCATAGATTTTGCCTGAGTTATACCCCTTTTGTTAACTTGAAATATTTGGATTTAAATTTTATATGCAACTCTACAATTAAGAATGTATATATTTTCAGATGTCATACCATTCCTTGTAAAAGCAAGTATCTCACTTGACGAAGGCGTGGCACCAACACTTCTACAACTGTTACAATGTGCTATTTGTGGAACAGCTATCGTCAAGGCGGTACAGTCGCAGGACGTTGCCTTGGGAACGTCACCAAACAAACAGAAGAAGGACAAAGACAAAGATAAAAATGATGGTATTAATATATTTCATATTGAAATTTTTACTGGCAACCTATTTTATGTTTATCACAGGGAATATCTGAAATGGACTTGTCCATCTTTAATTTCAAACAAAACCATTTATCATTTTTAGGGGAAATTTTCAAAATATGTACTTACTGAATAGCAAACAATGCAGACCATGTTCAGACGGCATGAAAGTGCTTGCTAATCTTAGTCTGCACTGGTTGCATGGGTAGAATCAGTTGCCGCCAGCAGGTTATGGGTAAAAGCAATAAATTCTCGGGGGTGGGGGGGGGGGGCTTCAGTGGCTGAGTGGTTAACATTGTTGACTTCAACCACTTGCCCCTCACCGCTGAGGGTTTGATTCCCGAAAGAGCCTTTGTATTCTTTCATGTGAGGAAGTTTTCCAGCTAGCTTACAGAATGCGGTGGTTCTACTCAGGTGCCTGTTCATGCCTGAAATAATGTACAGAGGGGCACTTGAGGTCTTCCTCCACCAGTAAAGCTGGAACGTCCCTTATATGACCTATACTGTGTTGGTGTGTCATACAACCCAATCAAACAAAAAGTATTGTTGGAGAATGGCCTTTATTTACTGGGTGGCCTTAATTCAGAGGTGGTCTTTAACACAAGTTTGACTGTATATAGATCTCTGTCTGTATCATATTCTTGTTGCTAAGGGTTATAATAATAATTGTCAACAGCCAAAGGCGTATTAACATGCCGATTTTGTTAACATGATTTTTGAAACTTGTTATTTTTCTCAGATTCTGATGATGGACAGAAACACGATGAGTCTCTTTGTTCAACACTGATACAGCTGTTAAACAGAACTATAGACAGAGATTTGATGATGCACTTTGTAAGGACATTCCTGCTGGAATCTAACTCCACGTCTATCAGATGGCAGGCTCATTCCCTTATACACCAGATTTACAAGTAAGTACATTATGTACCTGTATTATACGAGAATTTTATTTACCAATTAGTACTCACCATTGATGTTTTGAAAATCACTCGGAGTACTGATCTTCTATTGTTGCAAATAGAGGATATTGAATGAGTGTAGGTTTAATACTAAATTTATTGAACGAGTTCAATATTATCATATTATGCAAGCCTCTGGCAAGCCTAATATTGTTATATTTAACGAGTTCAATAAATTTAGTATCAAGTCTACACGAATATAATATTCTATTTATCACATAATATAGATAAGAATAGTAAACTGTTAAAAAGAGTCATTTTTCATTGGCACACCTATAGTGTAATGCTAACATTAATTATACTCCAGCACCGCGGTTTATGTGATAAAACACTTTTACTTCCCTATTAGTACTTCACCATTGACATTTTTGGCAATTAATCAGAGTACTGATCTGCTATTGTTACGATTGTTGTTTTTACACAAAAAGAAATCTCTTTTCAGGAATTCCAGTCTGCAAGAACAAGATGGAGTTTTAGATCAGTTGTGGACTTTATGGAAGGAACTACCTTTGTATGGGAGGAAGGCATCTCAGTTTGTAGACCTCCTCGGATACTTTGTGTTGGTCACACCACAAACTTCAGAGAAAAAGGTATAAAAAGTTGTTTTGGGTATTCAAGTTATGAACCATTTAATGTATGTGTAGATATATGTTGATGCTATGAAAATGATTTGAAGATTTATCATTTGTGAAAGTATAAATGTTTGTTGAAATGATTAATAAATGTTTTTTTGTAAATTATGCATAAATGTACATGTATATCAAGATTATAATGGTAAATTAATGTATTTTTAAAATAATTCAATAATTATTTATGATGCATAAATGTTTATGTATGTAATTGAATTTCTGTAAAAATTATACATAAGTATTTTATCAATATCTGTGAAAATGAAGTGTAACTGTGTCTGAATGATGCATAAATGATTTGTGAAAACGATGTATAGATATGTTTTTAAATGATGCATAAATGACTGTAAATGATGTATAAATATATGTGTAAAGCATATATTTCAGACAAAAGAGTATCTTGATAGAGCCATTGACCTACTGAAGGATGAGAACCAGATACTGGCTAAACATCCTAATGCACAGATTTACAAGTAAGTTACCTCCCTTTATTTCACAAGAACAAACATTTTTGTTAACTTTTATTTCAGATTTGATTACCGTTTTCAAATTCTAAATTCATTTTGTTCTAGTTTTTCTTAAATTTATGAATTGAACTTTTCAGTATGCTACAAGGCCTGGTAGATTTTGATGGTTACTACCTGGAAAGTGATCCTTGCCTAGTCTGTAACAACCCTGAAGTTCCTTATACGGTATGTATTAGTTATGTTTCATTATTAGTTTACAGTTTGTAAAGAAACATTTTCTATTATTGACTAAATTATGATAAATTGTTTGTGTTGTCATTGGATTTTAAGGCACACCAACACTATTCATCCAAAGTCCCTGCTGGGATTCAAACCCACAGCAGTGATTGTCAAGTGGTTTAAAGTTGACACCCTTAACCACTCGGTCACTGACGCCTATTATTATACATGTATAACAGTACATTTTATTAAATGTTTTCAGAGTCTCAAGCTGTCCAACATCAAGGTGGATTCTAAGTTTACCACAACCACACAGATTGTTAAACTTGTAGGAAGTTACACCATCTCCAAGATATCCCTGAGGATTACAGAACTCAAGAGAACTAAAATGGTTGGTTTACTTGTATTGGTACAGATATATACAAAAAATGTATAAAAACAAAAAATGTAATGTAGTAATTGCCTGTCTGATTACAAGATTATCCACATCCCCCTGTTATGGCAGTATTAATGCTTTGAATACCTGATATCATAAGTTAAAACTCATACTTTATCTGTGTAATTTTCCATCCATTTTTAACTTGGTGAGTTTTATTTTATCTCCAGGTACGAGTGATGAACATCTACTACAATAACAGGACAGTTCAGGCTGTAGTCGAGCTGAAGAACAAGTAAGTTTTCATTTGATAAATTTTGTAGGAAATGAAATTGACTGGAGTCTGCACATAGTGCAAAGACTTTGTAATTGAACTTTTTTTTTGTGTAAGAAAAAATATTGACACATTCGTTTTCATGATTTTTCAGACCAGGACTTTGGCACAAGGCCAGAAAGATGACCCTTACTGCAGGTCAAACTGATGTCAAGGTAATTGATTAAATTAAATATTCTTATCAAATGAAAGTTGGGGGAAATTGTTTATTGAGGATGAGCTGTCTATCATAAAAACCAAAATTTGTCAGACCCCAGTGCCAGGGGCCTGTACTCTCAGTGCCTGAAAGGGTGGATGGACCCTTATTAAGCATAGAATACACCCCAGTGCCAATGCTATCGAAGTTATTTTTATCACTTGAAAGAGACTTTGCTTAGTGTGCAAAGTATAGAGTAAAATTATCAGATTCCAGTGTTTCTAGTAGTGGTACAGATAAAACAGTATAGTGATATATTTAACATTGAAATAGATAAGTTGTAAGCTTTGATTCAGTTATAAAATACATGTAAATGAATTACAAATTAAAAATCATGAAAATGACTTTTGTTAAACAGAAGACTGTGTATGAAATAAAAAAAAACCCTGTGTAAGACATGTTGGGTGTTTAAATTGACGTCATTCCTGCATGCCTTTTATGTATGAATTGCGTTTTTAGAATGATGTCATTTTGCCGTTATGAATGAAATTGTAAATTTGTACACTACTATAAGAAAAAGGTGCTAAGTGAAATATTAGTTCTCATAATTTCATATGAGTTCTATGTAATATGCAAAAAATCAAATCAACACGGGCTGCGGTAACTGACCGGAATATCTAGCTCTCTGTTAACTGTTTAGCCAAAACTCGGCAGAGCCTCATTACCTTCGTAAACAGTTACCCTCGAGCTAGATATTCCGGTCTGTACCAGCATCTGGTGTAAGATCCTTATAATCATTGACATATATTACACTTTCAGGTTGAATTTCCAATACCTATAGTGGCGTGCAACCTGATGATAGAATATGCTGATTTCTATGACAACCTACAAGCCACAAGTGAGACATTACAATGTCCCCGCTGCAGTGCCTCCGTTCCTGCCAACCCTGGTGTGTGCGGTAACTGTGGAGAGAATGTGTTCCAGTGTCACAAATGCAGGTACGATATATATCAAATTTCATATCGGACTTTCTTGCCGTATACTTTAATATCTCTTCTTGAATGTATTCTGCATGTTATGTACATGTATATGTATATAGAAATGGTGTGTCTGCAGCAGAAGTGACATAACTAATTACATATAGTTAGAATGACAATATTTTCTTGCCATGGACAGAAAAAGAAATAGAATTTAGAATGGTGGCCGACATAAGCCATACAAAATACAAGTTAGATTGGATATTGATCAAACTCTTTTTCTCCTTACAAGCAGAAAAGGAAAAGGCAGGGATGTAAACATTGAACTGTTTTGTACTGTTTTACTTAGCTCATATTCCAGCAAGAGGAATAAGTCATATGTTGTCTTTGAACGTTTCTGATCTGTGTGTAAGGCAACCAGTAATGTTAAACATGATTTATAAAGATATTAAGCACATTGAATTGAATTCACTAAATGTCTTGAACAAAAAATTTAATGGTCTTGTCAAAAAGGACATTGTCTTGAGTTCTTTTAAATGCCAATAAATATTATAATCCAAAATAGTAGTACTGATGATGAAATAAAATTAATTAATGATTGTATTTTAAATTTGTTAATTGACCAATCCACAAAAACCACGAAAATTGCGTGGCGTCCGTGGCCAAGTGGTAAAGGTTGTTGACTTCAAACCACTTGCCCCTCACCGCTGTGGGTTCGAATTCTGACAGGGCTTTTGGATTCTTATGTGTGAGGAAACTATCCAGCTAGCTTATGTTACGTCGGTGGTTCTACTCAGGTGCCTGTTTGTGCCTGAAATAATGCATGGAAGGGCACCTGAGGTCTTCTTCCACCAGTAAAGCTGGAACGTCGCCAAATGACCTATACTGTGTTGGTGTGACGTAAAACCCAATCAAACAAACAAAACAAACCACGAAAATTAGGGCGTTTTCTTTTCATTTTGTCATCACAGAGCCATTAACTATGATGAGAAGGATCCATTCCTCTGTAATGCCTGTGGTTTCTGTAAATATGCCAAGTTTGACTTCACTCTCACAGCAAAGCCGTGCTGTGCTGTAGATCCTATAGAGAATGAAGATGACAGGAAGAAGGTAAGAATAGTCTCCCTTGTTTCTGTGGTTTACCACTGGTTTTATAGAATGGTATAATTTATGCTTCATCAAATTGTTATAAAGTGCTGTAGAAGAATTTTAACCCATAGCTGGCTGGCTTACAGAGATTCTCTAACCATGTAACCAATACAGACCAATCAGCTGTCACAGTCTACGTTGTTTGCTATTCAGTCAGTATATTCTGGAAATTTTCCCTATAAATTATGAATGGTTTTGTCTAAATTGATACACAAGTTAATTTCACTATTAAGCATGGTTAATAAAAATACAAAATCAATACAGTAAGTGTTTTGAAAGGTAATAGGTACAATGTAATATAGAATGGGGCTTTATTTATTTTTGATGTAATTTATATGATTAAAGTGAAGAAGGTGAGGGGTTACTTTTCCTTATTAATGACTTAATTATTAGAGGCATGTGTTCTACAGATATATAATTGGACAAGGCAATTTGTTATTTCATAAAATAAAGTGAAATTTTGAATGAAATAACTTTGGATGTAAATGAGTTTAATGGGGAAAAAATGTTCAATCAATATGTTAAGAGACATCTTTTATGAAGCCATTATTATGAAAGTGGCAGAGTGGCCAAGTGGTTAACACGTCTGACTAGTAATCTAAGTATTGCTGACCGCATGGTTTCAAACCCTGTCAGGGGCAAGCCGTTGTTTCCTTCTGCAAGAAACTACATTTATTGCTTAGTACTAGTTGGTTCCAGAAACAGTGATTCGAGATTGTTTCATTAAGCTTATAGCTTCCAACACAATTTAACTAAAAGAAATTTGTATAAAGTAAAAGCCATGATTATTAAAAAGTGGTGATTAAGGATGCCTCTTTAACAAAAATACTATGAGCCTTCCACCAATATTTTGAGTAGAGAATTACTGAATTATTCATGCTTGATAGAAGTTATACTCTATACTTTTGTTTGTTCTTATGATGAATCATCAGCATTGTATGCCAAATTTTTCTTTCATTTCATGCTTTATATTGAACATTTCAGGCTATTACAACAATAAACACTCTTCTAGAGAAAGCTGACCGGATCTACAAGCAGTTACAACTACATCGTCCAGCACTCGAGAATCTGATGATTCAGGTAGCCGAGCACAGCACCGACAGACCGGAGGACGGTGGCACACAAGGTGGTGGCGTGCCGGGATCAGCCGTCAACAAATCTATACAACACCTTGCGCTGAAATATTGCGGCGAAAGCAAATCTTCTTTTGATGAACTGAGCAAAATTATTCAGGTGAGGAAATGCAATACATGTTCATATATATATCTGCTTGTAGTGTTAATACTGCATCAACTGTCAATCATAAGATAACTTCAATACTTTATCAAATATAACAACACTCTTAACAAAATCATCAAGCTAACAAAATGATAAATGAACCATTTTGATAAAAAAAACCATTTACTTTCAAATCTAGACCTTTTTGTCATGAAGATGAATTAGTTAGACCAGTTTATACTTTAAGAAGGATTCCTATGAGATTTTTAAACAGATTCCTAGAGAAAAACTCTCATTTCATGAAACTATCAGGTAACTTTGTAAAGGTGAGAGGTCTTATGTAAGTGAGAAGTTTTGAATGAATTAATGAGTAAAGGGTCATCTTTGAAATTAATCTACCAATTAAACTCAATTAGTTGCCGTTAAGTGATATTGGCAAACTATGAATTCCACAGATTATAGAAAATGAATCCATACTATTATTTCTGTTAATGTAAAGGCTTTTTCTTTATCCATCTATTTAAATTATATCCAAACTTGCTTTTTTTTCTTTTTTATTAATTTAACTATAAAACAAATGGGTGGTGATGTAAAGGCTTATTTCTTAAGTCATCTTTTTAAAAAAAATTCAAAGATTTTTTTTTAAAAACGGCAGAACTGTTTTTGATAAGCCTTAAGAAAACTTGATGACTTTTATATTACAGAAAGTGCTTGCGTGTAGGAGAGAACTGGTGGACTATGATCGCCAACAGAGACAGGCTGTAACTACCAGTAGTTCACCAGTCACTAGTCCAAGAGATGCTCCGGTACTCAAACAACCGGTCAAGAAACCGGAAAAGATCAGGTTTGTGATAAATGATCGTTTCTTTTGGCTCTTTTAATGTTGCTTACTGAGATAAACTTGCTCCCTATTTCCATTGGTTGAAGTCCTGTTGCTGATGTTCTGATGGAGAAGTAACTATTAAAGGAACACCAGCCGACCGGTTAGCTCAATAGGTAGAGCGTTGGACTGTGAATCTGGCGACCCAGTTGTGATTGATCATGAAATCCTTGTCATTCACACTGTACCTCTGCTGTAGCATGTACAGAAAATTCAGTTCCTTGCAAAAGTGAAGGCAACTAGTACTGGTAAACTGTTTGACAGCCTAGCCCAGGAAGGATGCGGTGGTTGAACTGTGCTCTGGTGAATTTAATGTGGCTTACTGTCGTAATCCGGAGTAAAAACTACCAACACCACCTCCAGGAACTCCACTGAGGCCAAAAATCCTAAAAAAACATAAAATTTTAAATTCTTGCATAAATCAACTCGGGAATTAAAAAATGCAAAACATACAAAAGATAATTCTGAAATGTAATCAGAGTTAAAATGAAAATCAAACTTTACGGAAGTTTGGTGGTTCTTCTCTTGTGCCTGAAAACACCTGGGGTCTTCAACCATCAGTATTCTTGGCCATTTGCAAACCTGATGACCATTACAGTGTTTTTGTGACTTAAAACTCAAAAGAAAATAAAGAATGTGTAAATGAAGATATACATTTATTTTTTTGTTTACAGTGGCAAGCCAAGCAATTGTTTCGGATGTGCCAGTGCAGCTGTGGAGCACTGTATAACACTACTACGAGCCCTTGTTACGAACACCAACTTGAGGCATATACTCTGTAGTCAGGTACACTCTCTTGCTGTTACTATAAATAGTATTAAAATGGATGTGCAAAGTGTAGAAACATGATGTTACTTCTTTAAGATATTTAAATTTATTATATACATGTATACACTTTGATATAAATAAATACAGGTATCACATGCACAAATTTGACCCAACAGCTAGCTAACAGAACGTGGTTAATTCTACTCAGATACCTGCCCATGCCAAAAATAATGTACAGAGGGGCACCTGAGGTCTTCTTTCACAAGTTAAGCTGGAATGTCACCATATGACCACTACAGTGTTGGTGCAACATAAAACCCAACATTTAAAAAATGACCCAACAGAAAGAATAACTGTATTATGTACATCTTGGGACTTTTATAAAATAAAAATAAAAAAATATTAAAAATATATATTCTCTATCAAGATACTCTTGTAATCCCCTTATCAATCCTTAACTGGCCGGAACCTAAAGTGACCGGCCTTTGCAACCAGAATACCAGGCCAGCCTGCACATATTTGCAGACTGACCAGGCTTTATACTGTTGGTAGCAGCTCAAGTTTTGTATTTTTAATATTGAAATTCCTTTAACTTGAATGAACAATTTCAAAATTGTAACCTGACAAGTCCATTTAAGATATTCAGCATGTCATGGGTTTATAAAAAAACTTCATGTTATAAAAATCATGCACATATGTGTGTTTATCAAGACAATTTCTATTTACAGGGTATGATACAAGAGTTAATAGACTTTAACCTTCGCCGAGGCACACTACATGTGAGGTCAGAGGTCAGATCCCTGCTGTGCCTGCTCACCAAGGACAACCGGCGAGGTACCGAGGAGATGAACAACATCATAATGACCCGTATATCAGCGGCAGTAAAAGGACATCTCTCCAACCCAGATCTTGTAAGTAAAATAATTATTTTATTTCCTGTAATGAACCTTTCCATTTGTAAAGGGGTGACTGGTCTTTTGACAAATCTTGTTATAGGAGACTTGCTTCTGAGGGATCACACATTTTTCAGTTTTTTGGAACTCTGTATGAAGGGTATAATTTTTGATAGTTTAGATTTAGCTGTTCTACAACTGTTTATACATACCAAAGGTATATTTCTTTGAAATGCAAGAATTTTACTTTTAAGAAAAATAAATTTTTTATGCTTTTTAGCTTGACTATTCGAAGAATATGAGAGCTATTGTAGTCGCCCCGGCGTCCGCGTCTGCGTTGGTTAAAGTTTTTTGTAAAGTCAAATGTCTCACTTATTACTTGAGATATTCAATTGAAACTTACAATACTTATTTATAGTAACAAGGTACATCAGATTGACAAGTTGGATAACTCTGCCTACAATATTGACAGAATTATGCCCCTTTTTAACTTAGAAATTTTGGTTAAAGTTTTTTGTAAAGTCAAATATCTCAATTATTACTTGAGATATTCAATTGAAACTTACAATACTTATTTATAGTAACAAGGTACAACAGATTGACAAGTTGGATAACTCTGCCTACAATATTGACAGAATTATGCCCCTTTTTAACTTAGAAATTTTGGTTAAAGTTTTTTGTAAAGTCAAATATCTCAATTATTACTTGAGATATTCAATTGAAACTTACAATACTTATTTATAGTAACAAGGTACAACAGATTGACAAGTTGGATAACTCTGCCTACAATATTGACAGAATTATGCCCCTTTTTAACTTAGAAATTTTGGTTAAAGTTTTTTGTAAAGTCAAATATCTCAATTATTGCTTGAGATATTCAATTGGAACTTACAATACTTATTTATAGTAACAAGGTACATCAGATTGACAAGTTGGATAACTCTGCCTACAATATTGACAGAATTATGCCCCTTTTTAACTTAGAAATTTTGGTTAAAGTTTTTATGTAAAGTCAAATATCTCAATTATTGCTTGAGATATTCAATTGGAACTTACAATACTTATTTATAGTAACAAGGTACATCAGATTGACAAGTTGGATAACTCTGCCTACAATATTGACAGAATTATGCCCCTTTGGAACTTAGAAATTTTGGTTAAAGTTTTTATGTAAAGTCAAATATCTCAATTGTTGCTTTAGATATTCAATTGAAATTTAAAATACTTTTTTATAGTAACAATGTACATCAGTTTGCAAAATTGCATAACTCTGACTGCAATATTTGCAGAATTATTTGCCCCTTTGAAACTTAGAAATTTTGGTTAAAGGTCTTCAAAGATATTTACTTGAAACTTTTGGAGGGTCATAATTGTATGTCACTGACCAAGTTCCATAACTCTATCTTGCATTAAGGCTGATTCATATCCCCTATTCTACTTAGTCTCTTGGTTAATGTTTGCATGCAAGTTTTACATATCTCAATAACTATTAAAGATATTTATTTAAAACTTCACATATGCATTTAGTGTCATAATTGTAGGTCACTGACAAAGATCCATAATTCTATCTTGCATTTAGGCTGATTTTTCTCCCCTTTTTCAACTTAGAAATTCATTGTAAAGTTTTGCTTGTAAGCTGTTATCTCAATAACTACTGAAGGGTTTGTGCCTTTTTTGGGACAATTTTTGCATTCATAATAATAAAGCAGTGATTTACTTGATAAAACATCTTAATAACAAGCCTTTGTACCTTTTCTGTCAAATTTATGTATTCATAGGTAATTAGTATTATTATACTCAATAAAACACCCTTGTGACATTACCCTTAGAATAGTCAAGCCAATACTGTATAATTAGACTCTCTCTAAGGCCTATAACATGAATTTATAAAAAAAAATTAGCCCTTTTGTGAACTTAAAAAATTTAACATTATCAAGGCTCTTTTACTATCAAGCACTTAGAATAGTTGAGCGTGCTGTCCTACCGACAGCTCTTGTTATGTTGTGTACTTTGATATATACCTGAGTGAAATAAAGTTATATGTCTGTCTTTTGTGGTGTTTTTAGCTCACCTGTCACAAAGTGACAGGGTGAGCTTTTGTGATCTCTTTTCGTCCGGCGTCCATCCGACGTCCGTCCGTCCGTAAACTTTTACTTTAAATGACATCTCCTCATAAACCACTAAGCCAATTTCATCCAAACTTCACAGGAATGTTCCTTTGGTGGTCACCTTTAAAAATTGTTCAAAGAATTTAATTCCATGCAGAACTCTGGTTGCCATGGCAACCGAAAGAAAAAACTTAAAATATCTTCTTTTAAAAAACCCCAAGAGCTAAGGCTTAGATATTTGGCATGAAACATCATCTAGTGAGTGTCTACCAAGTTTGTTCAAATAAAATCCCTGGGGTCAAAATTGGCCCCGCCCCAGGGGGTCATTGATTTTCCCTTTATGCATATAGTAAAAACTTAAAAATTCTTCTTTTAAAGAACCCAAAGAGCTAGAGCTAAGATATTCAGCATGAAACATCTAATGAGTGTGTACCAAGTTTGTTCAAATAAAAGCCCTGGGGTCAAAATTGGCCCCGCCCCAGGGGATCATTGATTTTCCCTATATGCATATAGTAAAAACTTACAAAATCTTCTTTGAAAGAACTCAAAGAGCTAGAGCTAAGATATTCAGCATGAAACATCTTCTAATGGGTGTCTACCAAGTTTATTCAAATAAAAGCCCTTGGGTCAAAATTGGCCCCGCCCCGGGGTCATTGATTTTCCTTATATGTGTATAGCAAAAACTTAAATAATCTTTTTTGAAAAAACCGAAATAGCTAGAGTTTAGATATTAAGCATAAAACATCTTCTAGTAAACGTCTACAAAGTTTGTTTAAATAAAAGCCCTGGAGTCAAAACTGGCCCCGCCCTAGGGGTGTCATTGTTTTTAAGTATATGTGTGTAGTAAAAACTTAAAAAATCTTCTTTTAAAAAACCCAATGAGCTAGAGCTTAGATGTTTAGCATGAAATATCTTCTTATGGATGTCTACCAAGTTTGTTTAAATAAAAGCCCTGGAGTCAAAACTGGCCCCGCCCTAGGGGTGTCATTGTTTTTAACTATATGTGTGTAGTAAAAACTAAAATAAATCTTCTTTTAAAAAACCCAATGAGCTAGAGCTTAGATGTTTAGCATGAAATATCTTCTTATGAATGTCTACCAAGTTTGTTCAAATAAAAGCCCTTGGTTGAAAATTGGCCACGCCAGGCGGGGAGGGGGGGCGGGTTTTTCATTAGTGTAGTAAAAACTTAACATTGTGAAACATCTTCTAATGAGTGTCTTCCAAGTTTGTTCAAATAAAAGCCCTATATACAGGGGCCTATATACAGGTGAGCGACCTCAGGGCCATCATGGCCCTCTTGTTGTTTTTTTTTTTTTTGTTTTTTTGTTTTTTTTCACAATACAAAATTTATGATTTTTTGTGAAAGAAATTGGACAAAATTAAATCAGAAGTACTTTTTTCTTATATCAAAAGATCAGTATACTTGTCTGTCATGCAGTGTATTTTAAGTAAAAATTGATATACCTATCTTGTAAGTAGTGAGCAGGTTGATTGCTTCTTAAAAATAAAAGAAAACTGTTAATGTTTGTTTGTTTGTTCGTTTGTTTCATATTTACGCCCTTTCCCAACAGTATTTCAGTCATATAGGCGGGTAGTTTCCTAACCATCGTTCCTCGAGAGTTACACCAGTACTAGACTACCTTCCTCTGCGCTAAACTACCAAAGCATCTCCCGGGGATCAAACCCACGCCAGAGAGGTAACTGGGTTAGAAGTCATGAACTCTAACCCCTCGACCACCGAGGGGGTAAAACTGTTAATGGATAGATGTTTCTATGCTTGTAATTTGTTATATTGTATTGAAACAATGTTTTAATATTCCAGGGATCATCAGTGAGACATGAGATTCTTCTGCTGGCAAACTCTCTGAAACAAGAAGACACCTGCTGGGAGTTTAGGGTCAGATGTGGTAAGTTGTTTGAATTGATGTTGTGAAATGTGGGGTCATTTCAGATCTTTAATCGATACAATATAAAATGTGGGGACATTTCATATCTTTAATCCATATGTGGGGACATTTCATATCTTTAATCCATACAATATAAAATGTGGAGACATTTCTGATCATAAATACATACAATTTGAAATGTGGGGACATTTAAGATCTTAAATCCATGCAATATAAAATGTGGGGACATTTCATATCTTTAATCCATACAATATAAAATGTGGGGACATTTCATATCTTTAATCCATACAATATAAAATGTGGGGAAATTTCTGATCTTAAATACATACAATTTGAAATGTGGGGACATTTAAAATCTTTAATCCATACAATATAACATGTGGGAACATTTAAGATCTTTAATCCATACAATATAAAATGTGGGGACATTTCATATCTTTAATCCATACAATATAAAATGTGGGAACATTTCATATCTTTAATCCATACAGTATAAAATGTGGGGACATTTCAGATCTTTAATCCATACAATTTGAAATGTGGGGACATTTTATATCTTTAATCCATACAATATAAAATGTGGGGACATGTCAGATCTTTGATCCATACAATATTAAATGTGGGGACATTTCATATCTTTAATCCATACAATATAAAATGTGGGGACATTTCAGATCTTTAATCTATACAATTTGAAATGTGGGGACATTTTATATCTTTAATCCATACAATATAAAATGTGGGGACATTTCAGATCTTTAATCCAGTTACCTCTCTGGCGTGGGTTCGATCCCCGGGAGATGTTTTGGTAGTTTAGCGCGGAGGTAGGTAGTCTAGTACTGGTGTAACTCTCCAGGAACGATGGTTAGGAAACTACCCGCCTATATGACTGAAATACTGTTGGAAAAAGGCGTAAAATGAAACAAACAAACAGATCTTTAATCCATACAATTTGAAATGTGGGGACATTTTATATCTTTAATCCATACAATATAAAATGTGGGAACATTTCATATCTTTAATCCATACAGTATAAAATGTGGGGACATTTCAGATCTTTAATCCATACAACATAAAATGTGGGAACATTTCATATCTATAATCCATACAATATAAAATGTGGGGACATTTCAGATCTTTGATCCATACAATATAAAATGTGGGGACATTTCATATCTTTAATCCATACAATATAAAATGTGGGGACATTTCAGATCTTTAATCCATACAATATAAAATGTGGGAACATTTCATATCTTTAATCCATACAACATAAAATGTGGGAACATTTCATATCTACCAACAGTATAAAATGTGGGGACATTTTAGATCTTTAATCCATACAATTTGAAATGTGGGGACATTTCAGATCTATAATCCATACAACATAAAATGTGGGAACATTTCATATCTTTAAGCCATACAATATAAAATGTGGGGACATTTCAGATCTTTGATCCATACAATTTGAAATGTGGGGACATTTTATATCTTTAATCCATACAATATAAAATGTGGGGACATGTCAGATCTTTGATCCATACAATATTAAATGTGGGGACATTTCATATCTTTAATCCATACAATATAAAATGTGGGGACATTTCAGATCTTTAATCTATACAATTTGAAATGTGGGGACATGTCAGATCTTTAATCCATACAACATAAAATGTGGGAACATTTCATATCTTTAATCGATACAACATAAAATGTGGGAACATTTTATATCTTTAATCCATACAGTATAAAATGCAGGGACATTTCAGATCTTTAATCCATACAATTTGAAATGTGGGGACATGTCAGATCTTTAATCTATACAACATAAAATGTGGGAACATTTCATATCTTTGATCCATACAATATTAAATGTGGGGACATTTCATATCTTTAATACATACAATACATAATGTGGGGGCATTTCAGATCTTAAATCCATACAATATAAAATGTGGGGACATTATAAAATGTGGGGACATTTTATATCTTTAATACATACAATATAAAATGTAGGGACATTTCATATCTTTAATCCATACAATATAAAATATGGGGACATTTTAAAATGTGGGAACATTTCAGATCTTTAATCCATACAATATAGATGTTTAAGATAACAAACTTAAAATTTAAAGATGGAAAAGAAAGTTGTTTAAAAGAATTTTAGCTCTTCAAGAATGTGAAAATTAAAGTGTACAAAAATGCACATGCCTATCTCATTGCATACAACAAAATTTGTCTGTCATATTCTTGTATAATTAACCATTTGGACAAACACCTTTATGTATCAATGAGCTGTAATATACAGGTGAACCCTGTGAAAAACAATCACCTGTTGGACAAATTTGCCAAGATATCCTTCATTTAATAACCAATTGGGTAAAGTTGGAAAGTTGTCTGTCTTATACAGGTTCCACTGTTCACTGTCTTAGATAATAATGTTATTTGGCTAATTTGGTAAAACCATCTATCTTATGTAATGTTACTGTTCTAAAAGAGAAAGAAATTAAAGCTGTCTCACTCATTAAGGTTTGACAGTACTTTCAAGGTGATAATGAACGTTTATGACCAATATATTTAATATAATTTACACAATTGTTTCACTGTGTTTCAGTAATGCGACTATTCCTGATGGGAATGCAGCTGGAGCAGCCAGTCATCATGGAGAGTGTTACATTACCGTGTCTGAGGATATTACAACATTTGATACGACCTGACAAGTCACAGATAAACAAGGTAAGTGGAGTATTATAGTCCTAGTGTGCTCCCTTTCTTTTTCTTTGTATAGTGTATTTTAAAAGTTAATTTATTTTTTATTTTTTTACTGGACAGAGTGCGTCTGAAATATTTTGTGCTAGATATAATGCTACGTTAGCTGCTTAACTAGTTTTAGTTTCGAATCGTGGTTTGTGAACTTGAGTCTTGATAATGTTAAGTGTCTATTGTTCTAGGTTACCCAAAATATGTTGCTATGCTGTTGCCTACTATGTTATTGCACTCTTTGTAATAAAAGAGTTAACACTTAGAACGAAAAGAGATAAGCAACTGCCGCCAGTATAGAGCCCGGCCATCCTGCATGTCTTTACAGTCTGACCAGGATCTCTACTATTAGTTGCTCATTTTTATGATATTTCAGATATCAAAATCCCTTAAACATTGAATGGACTGTTCCAACATCAAAGCAGGGCAAATCCATTACACATATTTAGCAGTTAAGGGTAATAGGTATTTTAAATAATTTTTGACATCTATTTCAGGAGGGTGTTCAGGAGGAGCCACCACCTGTCAGTTCAGTGATGGCCCTGCCCCCTGATTTGCATGTGAATGGAGCTGAATGGCTGAGCGGTAATCAGAAATTCTCATACCAGAACTGGAGAAGATATCTGCCTGTACAACAAGGTAAGATTATTTATTGTGTTATATATGTTTATGATATTGCATTTTGCATCAGTTATTAGTTTGTTCATGTGGTTAAAATCAAACCTAACTGAAGCTCCATGGTTTCAGAGTATTCAAGCAAAAATGGAAAGCTGAATTTAATGAGATTAGCCTTTCATTATTCAGTTATTTTTCAGAAATGAAGATCTTGGAACCAAGATTTTCTTTTCTTTGTAACAATTTGGAAAAAAACATTTAAGTCCTATTTAAATATGCATGTTTGTAGACCTACCATACATGTATATAGATTTGGAGTATTTCATGACAGGCTTTTATCTCATCAATTTTTAGATTATTTCATGAAATCAAAATTAAAGTAAATAAATTTTTAAAAAAAGTTTATCTTTCATTCAAGGGAAAGGAATGTGATGATAGAAAATAATTTGAAGTGTCTGCCTCAATTAAGAAATGCATAATATTAGTCCTATTAAGGCTAAAACCATACATGTATATTTATTAAATGAAACTGTCACACCATTACTGAGTTGGTCTAGAAGGCAGGCAGGAAAATGATTTTAATAGGCTTATAGCTTTCCTCTTGTTTCTTCTGAGATGAATAAACTTTGAATAAGTTTTTTATAAAATTTGTGTTTCTTTATTCAGTCACACAGCAGACTACACCTACTGTAGAAAAGAAAGAGGAATTAACAGAGAAAGTAGATGAAAAAGTCACTGTCGAGAAGTCTGAGGTTCGTGCTCATTACCTTGAAGAGAAATATGCCACTAGGTGGCGCCACAAGATGTGGAAGGTCCCTGGCGTGCCGCTGAAGTTGACACAGACAACATGGCTCCAGCAGGCTATGTTCTCGCCGTCGTCACAGTCGGCAAGGCAGACGGCCACAAGGGTCATTGAGTACATAGCTCAAGTTCCATCAAGAAAGAAGGAAATAGTTGACATGCTTACTGGGTAAATTTACCTATCCTTTCATTTATCAGTTTTCAAGATAACTGTAAAAATTCCAGGTTTCTTACAATTGGTTCTGAACCAGATTTGCTGGAAAATTTTTAAACGGATGTACTAACAAACAATTATATTGACGTATTTATCATTTGACCTATGTAAGCTGGAAAACCTTTAGGCCTATGTTTTATGTAATATTAGTTCAACCTTGATTGGCTCGAACTACCGATCTCTCAAACAAATTTGCACGGGCCCTCCGAGTTTGAGCGAACAAAGTTCGATTGTAGTGGAATCAGCTTTGAAAGGATTTGATTTTGATTTTATTTTTCATGCTATATAATTGTGTAAATATTTTTGCAGATGTTTAGATCAGGTGGGCAAGGCAGGGGAGTGTGCCCAGGAATTCCTGGCTCTTTATGGTAGAGTTATACAGCCTACCCATTGGAAGCATTATCTTGCCATCAAAGGGGTGTTACTGAAATTGGGAGATCTGATCACCAAAGTAAGTATTGTATTCACAGTCATAATCATATTGAATTTATTTAAGACACCAAATACTGGTTATTTCAAGGATAGAGGTGGTTCTACACATGTGCTCGCTTGTACCTTAAATAATGTTCAAAAAGACAAACAAGATTTTCTCCACCACCAGAGAAGCTGGGAAGTTGCCTAATGACCTTACAGTGACGGTGTGACTTGACAAAAGACTTGAAAATTGATTAATATACATACTAGTTATTAGAATTTATTTCACAATCATGCCTTTACACTTAACTTTATGATATTAACAGAGATGACATTGCATTTTTTGTAGGAGGTAGAAAAACTACAGTACCTAGAGGAGACAACATTAAGTTCTGATCTTGCCCAAGGTTTTGCTCTAAAATCACTCACAGGTATGTCATCAATGATTTATACTAACAATTCAAAGAGCTCAATTTAATTTTAATGTTCTCAATTCACCCTGTTAGCTGCCAGACCAGTAGTTATAATAATTGCGAAGTATTCATCTGGCACATTACTAAGAATTAGAGAAATTTTTGATACAAGATAAGAGTGAGGGCGTCCATGGCCTAGTGGTTAAGGTCTTTGACTTCAAACCACTTGCCTCTCATCGCTGTACGTTTGGGCTACGCCAGCTTCTTTGCATTTTATCATGTGAGAAAGCTATCCAGCTAGCTTACAGGTGCCAGTTTATGCCTGAAATAATGCAAAAAGGAGTTTGCCTATCATCAATAGAGCTGGAAAGTTGCCATATGGCCTATACTGTGTTGGTGTGACGTTAAATCCAAGCAATTAAAAGAAGATAAATGTTTATTTTTCATTTCATGTACATTGACGAAATCAGTGTTACCAATATTCTGGCTTTCTGCAAGATCATTATTTTGAATTGTATAAATTTGTCCCTTTGACATTGGTTCCTGCAAACACAAAGAAAATTTAGGGGGGAAAAGTTACATTACTCTAACATTACTTATTCTTTATCTTTGCAGAGTTACTGTCCTTGTTTGTTCAACAGAAGGAGATAAAGCAACATTACAAGAACAGACTGGTTGGTTATGTACTGAATGGTTACCTCTCACTGAAGAAACTTCTAGTACAGAGAACCAAACTGATAGACGAGACACAAGATAAACTTCTAGAGCTGTTAGAGGATCTTACTACAGGTAAAATAATTGTGTATATAGGTTTCACAGTGGGGGCCTGGCGGAGTGGTTATCGCATCGGACTAGTAATCTAAGGATTGCTGACCATGTGGGTTTAAACCCCATCTTCGTCAAGCTGTCTTCTTCCGTGAGCAAGAACCTTTGCATTCATTGCTGCTTAGTACTGGTTGGTCCCAGGAATAGATTCAGGAGTGTTGCAATAAGATTATAGATTCTAACACAATTGAACAAAAATAGATATGTTTAAACTAATAACTTAGACAGGAATGTGAAATACAGGTAACGGGAAAAATTCATTTCTTTCAATTTGATTTACATTTAAATATTGGTCCATTTTCTTATGGTGTTGCTAGTTTTGATCATATAAGGCACAGATTTGGCATTATCATTGCGCTATTTCTGCAATTTTTTTCACATTCCTGTGTGAAGAGATTTATATAATGTAATTGATGTGGAAAATTACACAAAAGTTGAAATTTTCAAGCCATGAAAGTAGCTGAAATGGCATTAAGTGTTCCATTTGGTGAGGGAATTAGTCAGATAGGGTACTGTCTCCTTATGCATTATGCATATTAAGATTCTTGGGTTATTTTCTTTTAATGATAAACATTTATTGTAATATTGTGCCATCCACAGACTTTGAATCACATATCCATGACTGTGTTTGGGTTTGTTTCTTTCGATGGAGATCTCCAACTTAATGCTTGCTTACATATGCTGCTGACTTTAATCTTGAATCTGTCCCTGGAACCAACTACTACTTAGCAATGAGTGTAAAGTTTCTTGCTCACGGAAACAAAAACGGCTTGTCCCTGACTGGGCTGACTTTTACAAGGTGCCTGTTTAATTAAGTGCACAGAGGTGGCTGCTTCCCTCTCCATACTGCAGCTCTAAGATGAATAAAATAAAGACACCTTGTGGGATATAGTCTCTCTTAGTTTAAAAGATGGTTTTTTATGACAGTAACGAGTATGAATCCAAATTTATAGCCTCCTTATCAATAACAATAAGGAAATGGCATATTTTTGATTTATATACAAACCAAGCAATAATTATGTACTCTAGAGTGTAAGTTTCAGCAAGGATCAAAAATTGATTCAAATGTTGTTTCTTCAATAAACATGCTTTAATTTCAGTATATATGTACATGTATATATAATTTTATATATTTTAGGTACTGAGTCTGAAACAAAAGAGTTCATGCAAGTGTGTGTACAGACAATACAGAAATATCCACTAGATGATAAAGTGTCCCCTGTCTTCATATTTGAGAGACTGTGTAGCATAATATTTCCAGTAAGTACTTGTTTTATTGGTGTTAAATTGAAATATTTGAACCAGTCAAAATGTAATTAAAAACAACAACAAAAAAAAACAAAAAAACGTGTTCTTTTTCCAATTTTATGATATGTAAAATTTACAAAATTATGTAATACTGCAATTACAAATTATACTAGAGAAGCATTGTACCAGGGGTATAGACAATAAGCCTTATTTCATAAACCTCTTTGCAGAGATTTGATTCTTTAAAAAAATGGAATCATACCTGAACCTGCTGAAAATCTTAAATGGACTTGTCCATCTTTCAGTCTTGACAAAACCATTCATCATTTTCAGGGAAAATTTCAAAATAAGCACTGACTGAAATAAGGAACAGTGTTGATCATGATCAGATGGCATGGATGTGTCGCCTGATCTTGGTCTGCACTGGTCGCATGTGTATATTCAGTTGCTACTAGCATGCATAGAGTTGAACTTTCTATTCCTATTACAGGAAGAGAACGATGTTGGTGATTTCTATATGATCTTGGAGAAAGACCCGCAACAAGAAGACTTCCTGCAGGGGAGAATGCTGGGTAATCCGTACAGTTCTAGTGAGGCGGGGCTCGGCCCGCTGATGAGGGATGTGAAGAATAAGATATGTCAAGGTATGTTCACTGTATATTGTTATACCCTGCTTTACGTTTCATTTATAAGTCTTCTTGGATTTAGAGACATGTTTTATAATGACATTTAAGTAAAACAAGAATTTTATGATGATAATCTTAGTGAATCAGTGGCTACTAAACACTTGTGAGTTACAGAGTAATTTCAGTTTTTACAGTTGTCTCTTTATGAACCATTATTGTTAAAAGTGGTTGGTTTTCAGAGGTTGTTTTCATGCAAATTCAAGGTGTTATGTGTAGAGTCCTTAAGTTGTTACAATTCATGACAATTGTAAGTAATTGCTTTATATTTCCAGATTGTGAGTTGGTGGCCCTATTAGAAGATGACACTGGGATGGAGGTGAGGAGATATAAAAGAAAATGCAGATTCATTTTCTTATTGATAAATATTTACAATTTTAGTTAAAATTTGGGGTGTCTGTGGCTGAGTGGTTAAAGTCATTGACATAAAACCACGAGTGAGAATAAAACTAAAGATTAAGTTTTTTAAGTAAAATTTTGTTAAACTTTTACTGCTGAATTACTGCTGAATCTATGACTCAAGGTACCATTGGTCTGATCCTTGGAAAAGACATTGTAATATTATGCCTAAATAAGTATTAACATATTTTTTCAGTTATTGGTGAATAAGAAGATAATCAGCCTAGACCTACCTGTAAAAGATGTTTACAAGAAAATATGGGCACCAGAACATGGAGAGGTAATTGAAACAGCTTGTTCGTCTTTGATATTAGATAGTGTATTATATATTTACATTATTTCTTAAGACTGAATCTTGCTTATCTTTGCAGTCACACTTCTGTTAAGTTTTTGCTTGCAAGTTGATATCTCCAAAACTATTGAAGGGAATTGATTGAAACAACTTCACACACTTGTTTTCTGTGATATCTTACATGATGGGCTAAGGTCTTACAACTTTGGAGTTACTATTTTACAGAGTTATGCCCCTTTTCTTACTGTTGAGCACTGAGAACAGTCAAGTGCACTGGCTTACGTACAGATCCTTTTCTTGTCAATGTGCTGTAAAGCTCAATTAAATGACCCTACAAACATTAATATCTGTGCTTGCTATTTTAGGGTGAGCCGATGCAGATTATCTACCGTATGCGAGGATTGTTAGGCGACGCTACAGAAGACATGGTTAACTCCCTTGAATCCAACACACAGGAGGATATAGATAAAGAGGAAGTATACAGGATGGCAAACGTGCTGGCATCTTGTGGTGGCCTCAACGTTATGTTAGATAGGTAAGTTCAATATTTACTGGAAAATATTGAGTAAAGTTTTTTGTCAAACTTCAGGAGATAATTGTTGTAATAATTATCCTATTTTCTTTCATTTTATTTGTTTTAAGAAGTTAAATTTTGTTCCAAAAATAAAGCAATTTGACCAAGACTAAAGGAGAGGAACAAGCATGTTTGTACATTATCTTATCCCTTACTGTAAGTCTGTGATTTATATTTCTTTTCCATTTAAAATGCTAACAAGTGATCATGGTCTGTCTATACAAGTGCTGACAATATAAGGCCAATTTAGTGTGGACTTCCATACAATTACACCCTAACTCTTGACTGTTGGCTGCTCAAGAATTTTAGTTATTTGATATTAAAGATCCCTTAAACTTACAGTGGGTGTTACCAAAATCAAATTAGAACATATCCATTATGAAAATTTAGGAGAATCAGGGTTAAGAACAAGGTGGTATTAGATATTCAACATTCCATCATACCATTCCATCAATGCTGTTAAATTTCTTTGAACATTCCAGTCATACTTGACATTGGAGTTTTTATTGTACATTTGTATGTTGAAAGTATAAATTTCATTGTAATTTTTAAGATATAAAATTCCTGATTTTCATCTTCAGGTTGGAATCCATCAAGGACCTTGTGCTTGGCAAGCCACTAATGCTAGTGTTACTAAAACTTTTCTCCTTTGCTGTTAACGTGAAAGCTAATCGTCAGGAGCTGATCAAACCAGAGTTAAACACCATCACTGTGATGCTTGGTGCGCTCAACCTGGCATTGTGGGCGGAGCAAGAGAGTGGCTCCACGGCAACGAAAGGACAGACTATAACCGAACAGATTTTACAGATTATGGAAACCATTTTGTTAGAAGCCAGTTCACAGTCAACAGATAAATACACTGTAAGATTTCCAAATATTATAAGCATTATGATGTTGCAAATAACCACAACTGTTCATAAACAAGTTCAGTGAAAATGAGCTTGAATCATTTTCAGTTTTGTCATTTTAGGCATTTTTTGGAATTTAGACTGTTAAGTTATTAATGTAATGTGGTTGTGAGATTTGGGGATATTAAACTTTAGAGGCTTACCCAATTTATCATTTAATTACTTTTTCGAGCTAGTAATTGAGGTTATATTTTTATGTATTTGCAAGAAATGAAGGTCAAAGGCTTATTTAATCAGGTAATCTTGGTATATTTTGAATTTTTATGATTTTAGAATTGACTTCTCATTTAAATATATTTGTGTGATTGAAATATATAAGTAACTTGCTTTCAGAAACCACAGTAAAATAACAAATTATAGGTACAGTGCAAACCTTGCAGGCAGCTATTTAGTTTCATATGCAGAATAAATTTAACATTACATTTGATGATGTTTTTTTCTTTTCAGGAGTTTTCGAAATTATGTGGGGACAAGGCCCAGCTAATGATGTTACTGGAACGAATAAACTCGGCATTTGTACGATCTAACACGAGTGTCCTTCAAGCACTGATGAGGCTGATACCATTCCTGGCATTCGGAGAGGAAGACAAAATGTTAACTCTAATCAACCATTTTAAACCTTACCTAGACTTTAACAAGTATGTATTGTTAGCGCCAATTTTCTAAGACAAATGCGCTGTATATATTGTCATGACCTGGTCAATGATAGCATTAGTTAACCTTTATGTTAAGGTCCATTTCTCAGAGCTGTCCACTTTCAAAGCTATTCACTTCAAACTTGGCATACTTGTTCTTTATCAAAACAAAGTGGCGGTATGGCCGAGTGGTAAACGCGTCAGACTAGTAATCTTATGATCGCTGGCTGCATGGGTTCAAACCCGTCAGGGGCAAGTCATTGTTTCCTTGAGCAAGAAACTGTACACTCATTGCTCAGTACTGGTTGGTTCCAGGAACTGATTCGAAAGTGTGTCTATAAGCTGATAGCTTCCTACACAATCGAACTAAAATAAATTCTGTATAAACCAAAACATCACTTTAACGGAGCAGATATTTTTTGAAATAAAAAGCAATTTTGCAGACTTGTTCCCCCTTTTCTACTTAAGTTTAATTACACAATCCAGCACTGAGAAAAGTGAAGCATACCTTTGCTCAAACAGATCTTATCTTCACATTCTGCTTATCTACAAATTAAAGTATAACTGCCTATAAATGTCTCTATATTGAAAGAAAAATGTTCCTTCAGGAAAAAAAGAGTAGGGAGGCAGCTGTAATTTGCAGACAGTGGCCATTTTTGTTCGCAGACAATTACCTTATAACATTGTATATATACACCTTGACGGTACAAGGCTTCATTGCCTGATTTTACATTGTTGATGATATTTGTACAGGTTTGATGCTGAGCACACTCATGATGAAAAAGTACATTTGGATTGCTTCTGTAATATTGCTGCCGGTATCCAGGTAAATATTCCTAATTAACTTCATATTTGAGATAGTTTACTGCTGGGAACCAATGGTCAGCTTTTGACAGCTAGTATAGAATCACATCAGTTGTTAGAGCAGTCTGACCAGGTCCTAAACTGTCGGCTTATATATAAACTATGTATTTTCATGTTGATATCCCTAAAATTGATAATGGGGATTTCCAAAATGGAAACTGGACAAGTCCATTCAAGAAATTCAGGAGTTTTCAGGTTATGGCATTTAAAGTAAGTTGACTATGAAATTAAATGATTGAAAAAAAACTGTTTTATTTGAGGTTGTGTGAACCAGATTTTGCTTGAGTGACGAAATATTTTTGATTTATAATATATATGTATGTAAAAATGAGATTTAAGTTTTTAACTATTCATATAAGCAGTGATTAAAAAATTAAAGTATGTTTCAATAAATTGCCATATTTCAGAACAATGACAATGGTGTGAAGCTAAAGGATATGATCGTAGAACAAGGACTGGTGAAAATGGCGTTAGATTACATACTAGCACATGCGCCGGAAGTCAAAACTCTTTTAGCGTAAGTAACCATAAGATCTTGAAATGAATAAATTCTTTGATTTGATTAATGGAGCAAGTTCCAAGATGGAAAGAAGAATGCTGATATTTGTATGTTAATGTTCTTTGTTTCATTTTTAAAGGAAGATTTAATGCATAAAGAAAGAAACTAGTCTTTGTGACTTAAAAACTAGGGCCCTAAAAATGAAATGTAGGACTTGATTTTTTTGTAAAGTATTTGACCATGTGGTCTTCTACCTTATATGCCATCCGAGCATATAAAGGGATGGCTTTTCTATCCAAAAGTACAACTAGTCATATAGGTGTTTTTTCTCAAATAGGAACAAGAGGATACGATTGTTGTTGTGACTTGTATCCAACAAAATAACATTAAAAGAGATTAGCTAGGCTTTTTATACGCCCGTTTGAAAAACGGGACGTATTATGGGAACGCCCCTGGCGGGCGGGCAGGTGGGCGGGCGGACGGCGTCCAATTTTGTCCGGAGCATATCTCCTACATGTATGGAGGGATTTTAATGAAACTTCATAGAAATGTTCACCACTATGAGAGGCAGTGTCGCGCACATGAACAAGGACTCTAGGTCAAAGGTCAAGGTCACACTTAGAGCTCATTGAAAAATGCTTGTCCGGAGCAAAACTTCCACATGTATAGAGGGATTTCAATATTACTTGGCACAAATGTTCACCATTGTAAAGCGAAGTGTCACGCGCAAGATTCAGGTCCTTGTGGCCAAGGTCAAGGTCACTATTAGAGGTCAAAGTTCAGATAAAAATATGAAGATGTGTATATGGACCATTTAGTCATCATTTATTGAGGGATTGTAACACAAATGGTCATTATCAAGACTATGGCTGTGATACATATAATTTAGGTCAATTTATACAAGGTCAAGGTCACTAAAGATGATGAAATATCCAGATTTTGTCCGGAGCATATCTCCTACACGCATGGAGGGATTTTAATGAAATTTCATAGAAATGTTCACCATTATGAGAAGCCATGTCACGCACATGAACTAGGTCTCTAGGTCAAAGGTCAAGGTCACACTTAGAGCTCATTGAAAAACGCTTGTCCGGAGCAAAACTTCCACATGCATAGAGGGATTTCAATATAACTTGGCACAAATGTTCACCATTGTGAGGCGGAGTGTCAAAATTCAGGTCCCTGCAGCCAAGGTCAAGGTCACACATAGAGGTCAAAGTTTAGATAAAAATATGAAGATGTGTATAGGGACGATTTAATCATCATTTATTGAGGGATTGTAACACAAATGGTCATTATCATGACTACGGCTGTGTACTTTAGGTCAATATATGCAAGGTCAAGGTCACTAAAGATGGTGAAATATCCAGATTTTGTCTGGAGCATATCTCCTACATGTATGGAAGAATTTTTATAATACTTTATGGAAATGTTCACCACCATGATCTGTATTGCTCCATGCATGATCCAGGTCTCCAGGTCAAAGGTCAAGGTCACACTTAGAGCTCATTGAAAAACGCTTGTCCGGAGCAAAACTTCTACATTCATAGGGGGATTTCAATATAACTTGGCACAAATGTTCACCATTGTGAGGCTGAGTGTCGCACGCAAAATTCAGATCCCTGCAACAAAAGTCAAGGTTACACATAGAGGTCAAAGTTCAGATAAAAATTTGAAGATGTGTATATGGACCATTTAGTCATCATTTATTGATGGATTGTAGCACAAATGGTAACTATCATGACTACAGGTGTGACACATTTAATTTATGTTAATATTTGCAAGGTCAAGGTCACTGGAGATGATTAAATATCCAGATGTTGTCCGGAGCATATTTTCTACATGCATGGAGGAATTTTAATGTTACTTTATAGAATTGTTCACCACCATGAGACGTAGTGCCCTGCACATGAACCAAGTCTCTAGGTCAAAGGTGAAGGTCACAGTTAGAGCTCATAGAAAAACGCTTGTCTGGAGCAAAACTTCTACATGCATAGAGGGATTTCAATATAATTTGGCACAAATGTTCATCATTGTGAGGCTGAGTGCCGTGCATAAAATTCAGGTCCCTGCGACCAAGGTCAAGGTCACACATCCTGTGCATATCTTCCCTACTGATTTGTTTTAAGGTTCATTTAACAACACAGTGCCAAGAATAAAAACTTGCTTGCTAGATAACACTTATCCATAATGCCCCCATCTCCATCTAAAGCTTTCGTAAACGGGCGTATTTTGTGACTATGGCACCCTTGTTATGACAATGTGATATTTAACAGTTGTATGATACTATCGTATGGTTGGTGGAACCTTAGAGAGTGCACATGGCAATCAAAGCAATACCTAATATCACCAAATCATAGAGCCAAGCCAGCTTGCACATCCAGGTTCTCTATATCATAGCTTAGTTAAAGTATATGGATGCTCTTCTTTAAACAACTCAAAATTTCTTTTATTATCATTTTTGTAGTACTGACTCTGATATATGGAAAGATTTTCTTACGAAGCCATCATTGAGCTATATTTTGAGACTGATGACTGGAATATGTGACGGTCATGAACCTACACAGGTATGTAGTAACTTCTATAACAATTTATAGATCTTTTACTGTTATTTTAGTTTTTAAAGAGTCATATTACTGTCTTTATACATATATGACTAATACACTTTTTAGTCTGGCAGGTATATTAAAATCATGTCTGCCCCATGTGGTTTAGGGGATGTCTTCAGTGGTTGAAGGGATGCCTCTACAGGTTGAGGCAATAGAATTGCAGCCACCCTTTTAACCTTACATGATCATAAGAGGCGACTAAATAGGTTCAAATATAAGTGAGTCTTTGCATCACATTGCTCCAGCAGATGTTTTTTTAACCCCACAGTGTTGCTTGAAGTTTTTAACACTTAAGTTTAGCCAAAATCATTTTTCCTGTTTCTTGGCCATATAACCTCAACTGTGTTGGTATGCCGTAAAACTAAAAATGATGAATGTTTTTTTTTGGATTTAAAGAGGGACAAGTCTTTTTAAGATATTTAGCATGTAAAGGGTTAACTCAATTCAATTATAGATAGAAAAAAATCTGTAGAGAAAAATATGTGTATGTTTCCATCATTACTACAAACTTGAATAATTATACATATTTTTATTAACACTATACTATATTTTCAGTTGGAGTTGGGCAATCACCTGATACCAATTCTACACAAGTTAGAACAGGTCTCTTCTGATAAGCATATTGGGACACTGGCGGAAAACTTCATGGAAGCTTTAAGAAAAAATCCCACAGTGGCTGCCAAAGTAAGTTTTGTTTATTACACAGAAAACTTATTTCACTCAAAAATAAGTTGGGAACTTGCTTAAGTGATCTGTTCTACATGAAATCACAGGATTAATGGAGCACCTGTTGTATGAAGGCATGTAATTGACAGGTGGTCCCTCTGCGCTGATATGTTAATTTTTTTTGTTGGCTAATTCTAAAGTGTCAATATTTTCACATCTACCACCATCTCAGTATCAGAAATTAGGTCTGTATAATTTAGTTTTGATCTGTTGAATGATATAAATAAATTGGTTTTTGAATTGTTTAACTTTAAAATTTGTTTCTACAAGTAAAAAAGCATGCATTTTTGTCTTAGTTCATATATATACTAAAGAAGTGACCTCATTAGTATTCTATTTTTCTTAGATTGAAGAGGTACGTCAACAAACTAAGACAGAGAAGAAGAGACTTGCCATGGCTGTTAGGAAGAAACATCTTGGTGCCCTTGGTATGACTGTAAGTATGCATGTATATATTCAAAAAATTAATGTAGAAAACTTCTTAAATATAGTGGGAAGGGCAAACTCTGTAATGTTGTTAAAATTTAAGGTCAGACCCTTTTGCTTTTTATGAACAACTACAGCATCCATGCAAATGCTATTACTATACTGTAAAATTATATGGTAATGATTTGTCATATGTGCATGTGACATTATCTTTTTTGTTTATAATGAAAAAAGCAGTAAAAAATGATTAAACTAGAAATGAAAAAAGACTCAAGAGAGGGGTGCCCTAGTTGCTTAGGTATTGACCTCTTGACTTTATAAAGAATTTGAGTAAAAATTACACTTTAACACTTACCAAAGAAAAAAACACAAATAACACAAAAAATGTTTCATTACTATTTGAGGTTTTACATTAAACTGATTGCATAATCTCCTGATAAATAAAGATTGCTTCAAAAGTTTTGTTCGCTATTGACAGGCTGTTCCATTATTATATATATTTTTCAGACAAATGCCAAAGGTCAGGTGACAGTCAAGGCATCTGTGTTGAAACAGATTGAAGATATAAAAGAAGAGACAGGACTAACTTGTTGTATATGTAGAGAGGGGTATAGATACCAGCCACAAAAGGTACCTGTCAAATTATCACATTACATTTGCAGTTTATAGACATTGTAGTGATTTTTTGATAGTTTAACAGTTAAAATGTTTGTGTCAATTTGTCAGAAAAATCTGGAAAGGGGAGATAACTCATGAGAAGTGACAATAATAATGAATATTGAATAGATTAGCAGACTTAATTTGATTAAGTCTGTTCATGACAGTAAAATGAAAGGTGCAACATTCTTCACGCTCCCTAGCACGTATGCTGTAATCCTTTTCAAATTTGTTATAGGTTATAATGTGGCAAATTAAATTCGTATAACATGAGCTGATTATTGTTAACATTCTTAAGGAATTCTAAAGGACAAATTTTTGTGCACAATTTGGAGAGAAAAAAACTTATTCTTTATGTGCTATTATTTTGAGAATACTACCTCAGCTTGATTTTTATAGTCACTGCAAATCATTCGAACGTGAAAATATATAAGTATATGGTTTCACTAATGTTACTTAAGTGGGTAGTGTAAGGCTTTAGATTAGTAATGCTGTGGAGGTAAAAATTTTAAAATATTAAAAATGTATTTTTTGTTTTCTCCAGGTTTTAGCGATTTATACATTTACCAAAAGAGCCAATCTGGATGACTTTGAGAATAAACAACGTAAAACTTTAGGTTACTCGACTGTGTCTCACTTCAATGTTATACATGTAGACTGTCACACGGCAGCTGTCAGGTAAGAAATCTAGAGAGAAAAAAAAGGGCGATCCCTCGGTAGCGATGAAATTAAAATTAATTTGAAAATTGCAGGCTTGATTTTGTAGAGTCTGTTCATGAGAGATTATGATAAGTGCAAGATCTCCATACCCCAGAGCATCAGCTAATTTAGTTAATACTCAACATACTTTAATTAATTTACAGAACGTCATTGTTTCTACTCAGGTGCCCGTCTTTGCCTGAAATAGTGCACGAAAGGGCACCTGAGGTCTTCCTCCACCAGTAAAGCTGGAATGTCGCCATATGTCCTATAATGTGTCGGTGTGATGTAAAACCCAATTTAACTAACAAACAAACTCCTGGGTACCAGTAACGATATACAATGTAGCAATACTGAAATGAGGTCAAATGTGGTGTATGAATTTATTTTCTGCTGCAAAGACTCTGTATACAACTTGTAATGGTATGTATGAGTGGAAATTTTTGCAATCCATGTGATGTGGTTAAATGAGAACAATGTTTAAAGTGTATACATTTTGACATTGGAATTACCAGTACAAGGGACCATTCTAGGTCAAAGCAGACCAAAAACACTACAAGAAATGTGAGGACTTTTGGGTAAAAAATTATGATTAGAGAATCATTGTGATTATTTTGACATTTTCATAATGGGTTATTAACTAGGTAGGTAATTTATAGTATTATGCTTTCTTGTTTTCAGACATGCTCGTGGTAGAGAAGAGTGGGAAAGTGCAGCCTTACAGAATGCCAACACCAAGTGTAATGGTTTGTTACCACTATGGGGTCCCCAAGTACAGGAGTCCGCTTTCGCTACATGTCTCGCAAGGTAAAATAAAAATGTTTTTACTTTTTTACAACAATTTGAATAATTCAGTTAGATAAATCTAAACAGATGAAAATCTATGATTTGTCAAGAGGCAGCTTGAATTTTGGGAAAAAATACACATTTTTCATAAAAAAAATTTCCTGTGGATGCCTTCTGTAAGAAACTCTATACAGTCAATGCATTATGACAGAATTACTAACTACAGCATACATATATAACTATATGTCCTTTTGTTTTTCAAAATAGGTATGGCTTAACCCATCAAACTGTTGAATATCTTAATTGAACTTGTCTGCCTTCCATTTTTGGAGCTGTTTGTTATCAATTTTAGGGATATCAAGTTAAGAATTTGAAATTGGTCACCTGGAAGTCTAGATCTTGGTTATACCACAGAGATGTGTAGGCTGGCTTGGCTCTATACTGGTTGCAAATGCTAATTGCTTTCATTTCCAGCTGGAAAGGCTTCAGTTACTCTTATAGGTGATAAAAGTTTCAAACATTCTCATTATTTCAGGCACAATACTTATCTACAAGAATGTACAGGTGTTAGGGATCCTAGTTACCCATTCAACATACATGACCTGAAGTCGTTGTTACTGAAGTTTGCCGAGGAGAAAACATTTAGTGATGATAGTGGTGGTGGTGGACGTCAGAGTAACATGCATCTGATACCCTACATCATGCATATGTCACTTTATGTCATTAACACGTAAGTAATTTATTCACATAATTGAGCCGCATCATGACAAAACCAACATAATGGGTTTGCGACCAGAATGGATCTAGACCAGCTTGCGCATCTGCACAGTCTGATCAGGATCCATGCTGTTCGCTTACAAAGCCTATAGCAAGTAGAGAAACTGATAGCAACAGCATGGATCTTGATCAGACTGCGCGAATGCGCATGCTGGTTGCAAATGCACTATGTTGGTTTTGTCATGACGCGGCTCATATAGTAACTTTTCATACATGTATTGCTCTTTGTTATGAACTTGTAAGATTGTTTTCAACATTTCAACATCAAGGATATGTCACTTTAGTGTATGAACAGGTAAGTTTGTTTTTTAAAATAACTACATAATGCACATGTCACTCTGTGTCATTAACGTGTAAGTTGGTTTTCTCTATATAATCTACTTAACTACAGCATACATATACATGTGTAACTTTATATCCTTAATATTTGATAGGCTGCCTTCATGTGACTTAATTATTAAACTGAGGGGCGGAGAAACTGGTAACTACTTGTTGGGTATTGAAGAAAGCTGGTTAGAGATTTGATAAAAAATTTGTTAAAAAATAATCAAATAACTTTATAAATCATTTTGGTATAGTATAACTATGGAAGGCAAGTGAATTACCTGGAATTATGTTGGATATATTTAATATTTTGAGTATTTATGGCATCATTTTGTATTTATTGTATGTTTAGGACAAGATCTGGTAGTAGAGAGGATAAAAATTTGAACAATTTCCTCGAGTCAGCTAGAGACAAGTGGCTTGAGAATTGTTTTGAGGTAAGTGTTTTATTGATATAATAGGATGTATTGATATTTCGTTTCAGAAAAACCAAAAAAAAATGAATATTGTAACAATTCAGATAGAGTTTAGATACACTTTTGACATGATAATGTATTTTCATGTGACACAGCTATCCAGCCAGCTTATTGAAAAGTCATGGTTCTACTCAGGTGCCTGAAATAATGGATGGAGGGCAAATTTTTTGAGATTTCTCGCCAGAAAAAGGGAAAAATGTCAATATATAAAATCAGTTCAGTGGTTTAAAAAAACAAAAAAGAAAAAAAGAAAAAATTCTCATGTTTTTTGATTTCTTTTTTAGAATATTTTCATTTTTGGTTAAAGAAAAATTCAATTAAAAAAATTTAAAGGTTAAATAAGAATTTTTAATTTTTATTTAATATACCTTTTGTTATCATCCAGACGGGAGCCCAATGAAACTGGTGTGTAGTGCCACTCACCTTTTTCACCAGAAAAAAAGGAACCATTCGTGTCAAAACCTGGAACGTCTTTTGGTGAGCCCATGTTTTAGGAGTACTGCACCATTGGGAAAAGCGTGAGTTGTATTTGATTTTTCACTTTCTTTTTAAATTTTTGAAAAAGTTTCATTTTTAAAAGTGCTTTTGTCTTAACCCAAATTATTTTTTTTTTGACTTTTTCAAAGGACCATAGGGCATTCCCACTCCTCAAGGCATCAATGTTTTGTATGCAACTTTATATACCATTAACCACTAAAATTATTGGCTTTAAACTCTGGTCACAAGTATGCTTCAGAGTCACTGGACAAGAACCGTAACTCTAACATGAACCTTTAATGGAATTTTTTCCCATTGTGAACTTAAAAACAAACTGCAATTCAATTGAATGTGCTTACCATCTGAAAGGTCATATAACAATGATTCTTTTCTATCTTTGACTGGCAACCTGTCATTATTTACAGTTGTTGTTGTTTCAAATCCTAACAACCATCTTTTAACATGAATATACAGCACTTTATTTACTAACTTGTAAGACTGATGTAATTTTCACACTAAAATAGCAGTTTGGAATGACCATCTATAAATTGTTATGAGAGTATTATCTTATAAACCCGTATAGTTGACATTTCTAGTAAATATATATTGTAATGTAATTTGCTAACATATTAAACATCTGTTGTTTTTTTTTACAGGTTGACAGATAAAACCATGAAAGAGTATTCTGTTTACAAACCCTACCTGATCTTTCTTTGGCTTTGATTGATGGTTTATACCAGTAATATCTTCAAGGTTTAAATTCATTAATTTTTAACCTGGTGATTATGGGTTTGAAGCCCTTAGGTAGGCCCACCAATTCCCACACCATTTTCCTTGTTATGGCACCTTATACTTTCCTGTGTTGGTCTAAGAAGTGGACTTTTACCATATATACTCACTAATAAGACTTTTTTTTTCCCCTTCAACATAGAATGTTATACTATACATGTACATCCCGTTGTCTTATAAGTGGTCATTAAGGTCTATAAGTAGTGGTATTGGGTTATTAAAAGTCCATTTGTATGAAAATAGGACCCAGTCTTATAAGAGGCAAATGTAGTAGGTCTATTTATAGGAAGCAAATGCCTTCATTACAGTCTTGACATCTGAATGAACAATAATTAATGGAACACTTTAAATATGCAGATCAAAATGAAACTGCTACCTTTATGCATCTTAGTTTTTAAAGTGAACATAAAAATAATTTTTCCATTACTGCTGATTCTGAAATCATGTGGGATAAAAAGTCGGTCACTTGCAGAAATTTTGGTAATTTTTGGTTAGTTACCCGGGAAAGACAGTTAGTTAGTCTGACTGTCAAAATATGACAAAAAATGAAATTGAGCCGTGCCATGACAAAACCAACATAATGGGTTTGCGACCAGCATGGATCCCGACCAGCCTGATCAGGATCCATGCTGTTTGCTTACCAACCCTATTACAAGTAAAGAAACTGATAGCCTCCGTGGTCAAGAGGTTAGAGTCGATGACTTCTAATCCAGTTAACTCTCTTGCATGGGTTTGATCCCTGGGAGATGCTTTGGTAGTTTAGCACGGAGGAAGGTAGTCTAGTACTGGTGTAACTCTCTAGGAATGATGGTTAGGAAACTACCCGCCTTTATGACTGAAATACTGTTAGGAAAAGGCGTAAAACGAAACAAACAAAAAGCATGGATCCTGATCAGACTGCGCGGATGCGCAGGCTGGTCTGGATCCATGCTAGTCGCAAACCCATTATGTTGGTTTTGTCATGGCACAGCTCAATTGGTGTAAAAACCTGACATATAGACAAATAAATATAATTTAAAGTGAAAAATATTCTTGTCTCGTTCCATTTTCAGAAAAGGTGACAATTAAAAGATGAGACTGGACAAGGAAGTTTGGCGGATTACATTCGTAACAATGACAAGGTTCATTGATTGAAGTCATGTTGATAAACTCCTGGCGGCATACCAGGATGAGGACTGTTACCATTGTGAGTCTATTGGGCCGAGTTTGCAGACGTCATGGGTGAAGTTCAATTCTTTCCATTAGATATTTAAAAAAAACATTAAACAGAATAAAATGTATTAACGTTTAAGAGACTTGTTGGGGTGAAGGGTGCAGATTCGGAAAAAACTTATTTTCACGAAATTCTTTAGTTTAAATTTTTTTTCTCAAGTTTGAATTTTTATCAATTACTTCGACTTATCTGAAGGCATTGCAGCACCCTTAGGGCTATTTGACTTATTATGTTTTCCCAATATTTTTGAAACCATTTCTTAAAGGGTTTTTTTGATTTTTTAAGAATTTAATTTAATAAATTTTTTAATTTTCATTTCAGGGAACTTCTTTTGAAGATATTTCCTGATCAAGATAAGATAAATTTGTGACAGGGCTTTCTACAGTCCTTACCATAAAAATTTTTCACCGGGATAGTGCCCTTAAAACAAAAGTTTGCCAAACCACACTTTTGGACAATCAAGTGTTTCTTTTGAGCTTTGAACTTTATTTTTTCAAGTGGAATACAAAATGTATTTTTAACAGTTAACTAGTGACATTTTATGTTTTTGCTGGACTTTTAGAGTTAAATTAGGATATTTTTCCTATTCCTTTTAACTTAACCATATTTGAATTTCAGTGTTTCAATAACAAATTTTGAACATTATAGTGTTATTATGATAATCTTTTGAAATTTACTAACTTGGTTGAACAGTTCTGGCATTAATTTGTTTTACAAGCTTTCCCTTTACTTCATTACGTTTTTTAAGTCTTATTGGATTTTCATGGCTTTCAATATATGTAAGTTTTATTCAATCAATTTTTTTGGTGATATTGAAAATCTCTGTAATAGCCAAAATGAAATTTTAGAAATTTTTAAAATCATATTTAAGGAAAAAAAAGGTTAGGCTTAAAAATTCTTATATTTTTGTTGGTTACCATTTTTAATGGGATATTTTACATATTTTTTTCTGGCTACTTTTTTAAATAATTCTTGGTTTAACAGATTGTATATGTTGAAACTCTGACACCCTTTACATTTCCATGGTATTTGGGAATTAGTCACCCCAGGATTTTGCTTGCCATTCTGTGAAAATGGTTTAAATTAAAGCAGCATACCTCCAAAAATTCTATGTGCTTTAAATTTTATGAAAATTTTGGGGAAAGGATTTCAAATAAAGTAAACCATATTATTTAATGGTGTAACACAAACAATGATATAAGCAGGTTGAATGTCCCTTTCCATCCACTAAAATGGCTATGATATGTCAAAATGGCATTACCAAGTGAATAACAAGTCTTACTACTAGTAATCTAAGGATTGCTGGCCAAGTGGGTTCAAACCTATCAAAGACAAGCTTTTTATTCCATAAAATTTTGCACTCATTGCTTAGAACTGGTTGGTTCAAAGAACAAGTTTTAGTGCTTGTATCTAGAAGCATATAGCTTTGTGCCAATTAACCTAAAATAAATTCTGTATAACTTGTTTTTACGAATTTGCTGGAATATCATTACATGGACTTTTATTACATGAACTTTGAAACTTGTACTTTGTTACATGCACTTTGAAACTTGTACTTTTTTACATGCACTTTGTTAATAACAACAAACAAACTTTGGGATAAAAATAAAATACTAGGGTATGTCACACTTTGCACAAAACCTGTTAATTGTGTTTGAACTTTCAATGTTTATGCATATTTGTTAAAGGAAAAGACAATGCAAAAATGAGAAAATAATATAGAAGTACATGTCTACATGAAGGCGTGTACTATAAATTGTAAGTTTGCAAATTTTTCATGTTAAAAAGAATGATATATTTAAATGCTTTATAACAAAATGTAAATCACTAAATCACCATTTTCTTCAAAGCATTAGGCACAGCCATATTTGTTTATTGGCCACATTGAAATTTACTTTTGTCTGATTTAAGGAATATTGTTTTTTCATCTGGAGGTGTGCTGCTTTAGAATGTCTTAAGTCTTGATACTTTTGTAGCCATTAATGTGTGACTTAGATTTCATTAATGTTGTAGCAGTTCTGTAATTAAAGTTACCATACCCCATAATATATACTCTTGTAAATCAATGTCTGCAAAAACAAAACGTATTACAGCTTTGAATTTTATGAGGACAAAAAGTGATTTTTTGCTAAGGAAATGAAATTTCTAATGGAAATGTTTGTTTGATTTTTTCTCTTTAAAAAATAAATTTTAATATCTCCCCGCTTACAATGTGTTGTTTTATTTTATAAGAAAATGTTTGGATGCTATAACAAACTAGTCCTAAAGGGAAATAACTTGTTTTTAATAAGATAGGGTTAGATTACTTCTCTTCTTGTGCTGTCTTTAACAGTTGGTCATAAGGGCAATAACTTTTGTATTTATTTCATACATGTACATTGTGTTTGATAAGTAAGTTACTTCCCTTCTTACATAATCTTGTAGTTTTCATAAAGGGCAATAACTTTGGGGTCTTTTTTAAATAAGGAAGGATGGGTTCCTT